AGCGAAAGGCATATATGTTGTTGGTAATATTCCTTCCGTTCTAGTTTGTTTCGAGGGTTTTTTTTTTTTTTTTAAATATTGAGTTATTTTTCATTTTTTTATTTGTTTATTTTTCAATGCGGACGCATTCGTTTTATTGTGTTTCTTCTTGTCTTTAATTACATTATTGAACGAGTTTACAAGCTACAGCATTGGGGCGTTGGTATTTACTGTTTTTGGAAATGGACCAGCAAGTGTTGGCCAGGTTGTGAAGACACTAAGACAACAAGTTTTACACCAGCATTCGGGCTGTTCTTGTTAATATTATTGCTTTTTTGTTGTTGCGGCCTTTAATCACAACTGTACATCGGCAGTAATGTCTATTTCCTTATAAAATATTGTCTTCTTTTAAAAGCGTTCTTTGGTTTGTCTTATGGACATATTAATAATGCTTTTGATACTGAGTGTTTCATAGTTTGCGGTTTTTTTATTGGATTGATCTTCTTGTACTTCTTGCAAAATTTTTAATATAACAGATATCAAAAGGCATGCGTCTTCCTGAAAATAGGGTACTTTTAGAAGTTTTAATAAGTAGGAGACATTTTCTTTTGCCAATTTCTCGTTTACAGATTTTGTGATAGTTTAACTTATGCTAGTACAGGCCTCCTTGAAAATAGGATAACGTGCAAGATGAAAGAAGTTAATTTTATGAACCTTGCTAAAATTCTGATGCCCTTTATACATCATGATTTTACCTCTAAGATTCGGTGGTCCATCGAATGCCTCATCTTCTAATTTTTTTTATCGTTTTAATCTATTCTGGATTTTTGTTATTGCTTACCTCTGAGCCCCTTACTTTTCATGCAAAATTTTTGTGTACTAGAAAGCAGTAAGGAATAATTCTTCTATGCTAGGGTTTTGTTTGTTTGACTTAATCCTTTTTTTTAATATAAAAGCATTCGTCTGTAAAAAAGGTTGTTCATGGCTTCTTCGAAACTGTATTGCTTAATAACCACAACTACTGCGCTAGCTAATTAAGGCCACAATTTTCATTAATTAATACTAATCGCATAACGTGATGACGTCATAAACGGAATTCACTGCATTACGACTTGCTAGTCAGAAGAACTGTGAGACACCACTGGATTTTGAACGCGACTACTCCAAGCGTTGATTCAATAAAGGAGCTGTTTAGAACCGTGGACTGAGTTAATCTTCGACTGGCAAAATATTCAAAATCCACGGTGGTCTGCTACAAAGCGACAACTGGATAAGCGAAGATGGAAAACGCAGCTGAAATCGAGAAGGCTAAAGGCAAGCGTACAACAGCTAAAGGAAGATTCACAAGAAAGAAGAACTTCCTCACCAAGTCGATAGACAATAACCAAGGCGTAGAAATAGTTGAAACAAACTATGCGAAACTCGCGGAGGCGTACGATGAACTCGAAGGCAAACATGAAGCCTACATCGAGCTATTGCCAGACGATCAGTCTGAAGAAGCAGAAGTGTGGATGACAGAAGTCCAAGAGAAGTTTAATGAGGCGACCAATCGCAAAATCAAATATGTGGAACAAATCACTGTGAAAGAAAGATCAACACGTGCGTACGCGGAGCGTCAAGAATACATTGATAAAGCACGCACAAGACAGAAAACAGCGCGCGCAGTTTTCGAAGCTTCATACAAAAGTATCTCGCACGCGCTGCAATCTAAAGAAATTCCCAATTTTGCATTGAGAGATTTACAAATGCAAATTGAAGAAGAATTTTTGGAATGCAAACGATCAAACGCAGAACTGCTACAATTATTAACTCAAGACTCAGCAGACGCTGAAATAAATTGGATCGCTACAATCCAAACCTGTTATCATGAAATAAAGGAGAAAGTAGCGCTAAGCTACACTAATGTGGAAGAAGCTAAAGAAACAAAGCGGGAGTCTACCGCCTCAGCTTCCTTTCTACAACTAGAAAAAGTGCGAATGCCTCACTTTGACGGAGAACTGCGCAAGTATCCGCAATTTAAAAGAGATTTCCAGAAGCAAGTTATGACTCAAATCCGAAAAGGTGACGCAGCGTACGTCCTACGCACCTGTCTTAAGGGGGAGCCAGCGAGATTGGTGAACTGCGTAGACGACGACATAGACGAGATGTGGCATCGTTTAGACGACAAATATGGAGACCCAGCCAAAGTTGTCGATGTCATCATTGACGAAATAAAGCGATTTAGAATGCTCAGAGAAGGAGAAGATAAACGCTTTATAGAATTTGTAACCCTCATAGAGTATGGTTATCGTAACCTAAAAGGACTCGGCTTGGAAACAGAGATCACGACTACAAGCTCAGTCAGCGTAATTGAGAAAGCACTCCCGTCAGATATCAAACGGAAATGGTCCGAACGGGTAAGCTCTCGTGACAGTCTTGTTGATAAGAGCAACAAATTTCCAAGTCTTCTCGACTTTCTACAGAGTCAAAGGGAAGCCATTGAATACGAAAGTGCTACACTCCGTGCAGGAAGCAGCAACCAATATCACAAAGGCGCAGCACATTACTCGGAGAGTATCACAGTCGGAAAAGACGAAAGTACCAAAGAACCTAGGCCTAAGTGTCTGATTCACGAGAATGGTAAGCACTGGACGTCAAATTGCCGACTTTATCAAGCTAAGACAGTTGACGAAAAAAGGGATTTTCTCAAAGAAAAGCAAGCATGCTGGGCTTGTCTTAAGCCTGGTCACAGGCAGCGGACTTGTAGGATAAAAAGAGATTGCGGCGTGAATGGCTGCACGAGGAAACATCACCCATCAATTCACGAAAACGATGAAAGTACACCCCAGCAAGCTTCTGCCTCCGCCAATGTATGCAGCGACTCCAACGTCGATACATGTCTTCTCCAAGTACAGAGAGTAAAAACCAGGAAGGGGACAGCTAATGTAATGTGGGACAACGCAGCCTCACTTTGCTTCATAACCAACGCCAAAGCGAAACAAGAGAAACTCAGTGGAGTCAAAGTGAATCTTTCAATAGTGAAGATAGGAGGGCAGAACGAGGAAATCGAAACAATGAAATACAAGCTACCACTTTTGGACAAGCGAGGTCAAGCCGTGGAATTCGAAGTATATGGGATCAACAAAATCACCTCTGATATCGAGCATGTAAACGTAGAGAGCATCGCCCACCTATTTAGAAACGTTTCAAAGGATGAAATAGCGCGACCCGCTGGTCCAGTTGATGTGTTGATCGGTTATGAATACGCCGCCTTTCACCCGGAAAGGGAACAGAATAATGGGCATCTTGTACTACTGAAAAACCGTTTTGGAAGATGCGTAGGAGGAACTCACCCACTGCTTAAAGAAACGTGCATGACCCATAATCTTGGAAACGCGAGAGTACACTTTGTAGGCAAAGTCAATGTCGAAGATTTTTACACTATCGAGGCACTTGGTGTACAGTGCAAACCGAAGTGCGGGGGATGCAAGTGCGGAAAATGCTCCTTGGGCGCCAAAGATTATACCATACAGGAAGAAAGGGAACTGGAGTTAATTGAGCGGAATTTAAGTTTTAACAGTGAAGACAACTCATGGACCGCTGAATACCCCTGGATCAAAGACCCCCATAAGCTTCCTAACAACCGCAAAGTAGCGATGGCGAAATTAGCTGCTACCGAACGACGACTCAGAAAGAACGCAGATCACGCGAAAGTGTATGACGAACAGATAAAGGACATGGTGGCCAGAAATGTGGCAAGAAAGCTATCCGAGGAAGAATTAACAAACTACACAGGCCCTACGTATTACATTGCTCACCACGAAGTACTCAAACCAGAATCGAAATCTACTCCAGTTCGTATAGTTTTCAACAGCAGTGCGAACTATATGGGGCACGTATTAAACGAGTATTGGGCAAAGGGTCCTGACTTGCTCAATAACTTGTTAGGAGTCTTGATACGCTTTAGAGAGAACAGAGTTGCTTTCATGGGAGACATTAGGAAAATGTACCACACAGTGAAAACGTCGGAGTTGGACCAACATACTCACCGATTTCTTTGGCGCGACATGGATAGTACGAGAGAACCAGACACCTATATAATACAGCGAGTGTCATTTGGAGATAAACCGTCCGGCACGATCGCCACTGTAGCATTGAGAAAAACGGCAGAGATGATGCGCAAGAATTATCCGGAAGCGGCAGACATAATTCAAACCAACACTTACATGGACGATATCATCGAAAGCAAAGATAACATTGCACTGGCCCGTGATCTTAGCCAAGACATAGAGAAAGCTATTATTAAAGGAGGATTTCAAGTTAAAGAGTGGATATTCTCAGGAGATATTAACAAGCAAGAAGAAACGATCATGGTACAGACACCGCATACGTCGACCGAAAAGATACTTGGGATCAAATGGAATCCATGTGAAGATCAGCTATGTTTTGAAGTCAAGATCAAGTTCTCACCAAAAGGAAAGAGACATGCTTTACAAACAAATAACGTAACCACAGATTTTCCCCCTCAACAACTCACGAAGAGGATGATTCTCTCACAGATCAATAGTGTATATGATCCTCTCGGACTAGCTGGACCGTTCACTGTAAGAGCGAAGATTCTAATGCGGCACTTATGGGGAAGTGAACAGAAGCTTAACTGGGATGATCCCATTCCTGAAGAGAATAGAGAGAACTGGATAACCTACTTCAAAGATTTAAAAGACATGGATCAAATACGATTCATGAGATGCGTGAAGCCGTCGGATACAGTTTGAAAACCTACTCTTATTATATTTAGTGATGCATCTCAAGACGCCTACGCTGCATGCGCGTATGTACGCTGGGAACGGAAAAATGGTCAATTTGAAAGTAACTTGATCATCTCTAAGAATCGCCTAGCTCCAATCAAAAAAATATCTATCGATCGTATCGAACTATGTGGTGCAGTATTGAACAAACGTCTCAAGACCTTCATTGAGAAAGAATGCAGATACCAATTTCAAAAACTCTATCACATTGTTGACTCACAAATAGTACATGCTATGATACAGAAAAATTCCTACGGTTTTAACACGTTCGCTGCCACAAGAATTGGAGAAATACAAGAAGGAACAAGCCAAACAGATTGGTACTGGATAGAGAGCGAACACAACATCGCTGATTGTCTCACGAGAGGGAAGAAGCCTAGCGATATCGGGCTCGAAAGCGCATGGCAGAAAGGACCCGAATTCCTACGACAACCAGAAGATGATTGGCCAATAACTCGCAATTATTTAGAATCACAACTACCAGAACGAGTCAAGACGGCACTGGCTATAAAAATCGAAGGATTTCAGGATACCCTTGCAGGAAGGATTCATATCACCAAGTACTCAAATTATAACAAGCTCTTAAGGGTGACGGCAAGAGTTCTGAAACTCTATGACAGAAACCCCAAAACATCTCTGAAAAACGCAACACGTGATCTCGCACCACATGATTTGGAAAGGGCTGAATTATTTTGGATACGTGAAGCTCAACAAGACATGGGTAAGGATATCGAGAACGGGAATTACAAAAGATTATGTCCTAAGATGCGAGAAGATGGTATATATGTGATTAGAGGACGAAGCGAGTTATGGATGGAGATGAGCTACAACAAGAGAGAAGTAATACTCCTTCCATACGATCACCCATTCTCACGTTTATTTACAGAGCAAATACACAGAAAAGGGCATCATGGGATATTAACTACAGCCAGCAAAGTGCGTACCAGGTACTGGATCCCGAAACTGTTGAAACTTGTGCAATCAATCAAGTCCAAATGCGTCGTTTGTAGAAAACTTGATAAAAAAGTCAGTGAACAAGTAATGGGCAACCTTCCAACTGAAAGGCTGAAACCAGCCCCTCCATGGAGCAGTACAGGCATCGATTTGTTTGGACCTTACAAGATTCGCGATGAAGTAAAGAAAAGAACAACATCTAAGGCGTATGGAGTGATATTCAACTGTCTAGGGACAAGAGCAGTTTACTTGGATATAGCAGCAGACTATAGTACAGACAAATTCCTAATGGTCTTCAGACGATTCGTGTCACTACATGGTTACCCATCTAAGCTATTCTCAGATAACGGTACCCAACTCGTCGCAGCAAATAAAGAGCTTTCTAATATGACCAAGACTTGGGATTGGAACAAACTAAAAGGTTTTGGCATAACTGAGGGATTTGAGTGGATCTTTACATCCGCAGACGCACCCTGGCAGAACGGAGTCACAGAAGCTCTCATAAGATCTGTAAAACGAGCTATTAACGCTTCTATTGGCGATAGTACCTTAACATTCTCAGAGTTACAAACAGTACTTTACGAGGTCGCCAACTTGCTGAATGAAAGACCAATAGGAAGGCACCCTGCGTCACCTGATGACGGTGCATATCTTTGCCCAAACGATCTTTTGCTTGGTAGAGCAACGGCACGAATACCAAGTGGCATGATCTTTGACGAGCGAGCGAGTAATAGAAAACGGTTTTCGTTCGTACAAACGATAATATCTTCTTTCTGGAAGAAGTGGACGCAAAATTACTTTCCCAGTTTGCTGATACGTCAAAAATGGCATACATCCCACCGTAACTTAAAAACTGGAGATATCGTTCTTATACAGGACTCGAGCTTGTTAAGAGGAAAATGGAAGATCGGGAGAGTTTCTAATACATATCCAGGAACGGATGGGAGAGTCCGGAAAGTAGACGTCGAATACAAGAACATAACAAATGAGCCTGTAACTAAATGTAAAGGAAAAGGCTATATAAGTGTACAGCGACCAGTACAGCGCCTAATATTAATACTGCCTATTGATGAACAGTGACTGAACTCTTAAATTTACTTGTAAATCGTATACTTACTATACCTCATTTCAGATGGGGGAGTGTATTGCTTAATAACCACAACTACTGCGCTAGCTAATTAAGGCCACAATTTTCATTAATTAATACTAATCGCATAACGTGATGACGTCATAAACGGAATTCACTGCATTACGACTTGCTAGTCAGAAGAACTGTGAGACACCACTGGATTTTGAACGCGACTACTCCAAGCGTTGATTCAATAAAGGAGCTGTTTAGAACCGTGGACTGAGTTAATCTTCGACTGGCAAAATAGAAACCTTTAAAAGTAATTTTTATTCCTGAAATTGCAATAACACGAAAAGTGTTATTGCAAGTGAAAGTGTAGAGTTAAAAAAATGTCACTCAGATACATTTAATCTAAGATATACTTTTTGCCTTTAGAACCCAGTGGTGCACCACAAGCTGTTACAGTTAATGTGACATCTTCTAGAGGTATCTCTGTCTCATGGGATCCTGTCGTTGCTGATGATCAAAATGGAATTATCAAAGGATACATCGTGAATTATCAAGCCTTACCAAATGGTTACATCGTCGCTAGGATCCTCAATATTACTAAAGAGCAACAGAATAAAAGACAAACAGTGACTTTAGATAATCTGAATGAGTTTACAAACTACAGCATTGAGGTGTTAGCATTTACAGTGTTTGGAAATGGACCAGCAAGTGCTGGCCAGGTTGTGGAGACACTGGAAGACAGTAAGTTTTATGCCGGCATCTGCACTGTTATTGTAACTTTTATTGTGTTTCTTCTTGCTTCTAATTGCATCATATCGGCAGCACTGTCAATTTTCTTACAACATTTTTACTGTCGCTATTTCGAAGAAAAGAAAACTGCATAGAGATGTTAGTGAAATTGTATGCCAATGACGTTAACGAAATGACCAATGATACGTCAGCCAAATGACCTGGAACTTTAGGGAAAGGGAAGAAGGGAAAGAGAAAAAATACAAAACGAAGATCTTCGCGAAGATGCTTCGTCAGGCCACGAAATACATGACGCTACGCTTTATGAGACGTTGAAATAGACGTTATTGATAAGGCCTTCATTTTGCAGAAAAAGAAGGGGTCAAACAACAGTGAAATGCATGTTGACCGAGGTCTTTTCTGCGTTTTTGCGGACCTGAATAAAGTTAAGGTCCATAAAAACGAAATAAAACAACAGGACTCATATCCAGCCATCTTGACCAAACAAGCCTACTAATAAAGAATTTCTGGTAGAAGAAAAAGATTTCGCTTTAAAAAGACTCAAGAATGATATGTTGAATTTGAAAGCCGGGAAAGAGACGCAACTGTTGCAGCACAATATACCTAGGAGAGTCTTCTGTTTTCTTTGTTTTACTATCTTCTGCCACTTTTTGCGACTACATCGCCTACATTGTTCAACAGTTGCGAACTTTGCAAGTCCGTTCCACCTAAGTCTTTCCTTGAGCGGGGTCAAATCGGGCAATCCCGAGCAGGCAGGATGGGCTCATCTTCTTTTAGCCCATCATCCTTTTCTTTCCGGGTGGTGTATACCAGTCGTTGTACCTCGGCTTCATCTGGGGTCTCATGGGATTGCGCCTCTATCTTGCTTACAAGTGGAGCACTTACTCTAATAGAGGCTGAGTACTCCGCATCTGCACTATCAGATGGATCTATGAGCCCAAGACCCCCCATACGCACCGGCAATGCTACTAGATCGCGCTCTGCCTCAGAACAGTTACGTCCTATGAGCGATGGTAAGCACATCCGAGATTGCACGCTCTAAGTGTTGTAGTAGGGTCTCGATATCCGGCAATGTTCTCATAAAGTACGTCCACTGATGTCTAAGCCCAAATGTAAAAGCTGCATAACTAGCTTGTGGCTGAGATCTTGCAAACTCCGCCAACCTCGTCACTTCTCCCACCCAATCTTCTACCTTGCCACCCACATAATGCTCAAGATAGGACCGTGAGCCCAGCGCAGCGCCCAGGTGTTTGCGCCCCATGGTGGTGATGTTAATACCAGTCCCTGCGAACATTTCCTTTGCTCGACCTTCCTTTTCCGGCTTAACAACAAGCCAACACTTCTTGGGATTGGGATAATATCCAAGGGGCGAACCAGCCTGCCTCAACTCGTCCCACCATTGCTTGACCTCTTCTAGGGCGCCTGCTCCAGTAGCATCATCCGCGAACCAGCATTGCTTCGCAGTGCTACGGTTATGAAGTAGCGATATTAGCGGTTGTAAGCTGATTGCATACATTGACATAGCTAAGGGGTCTCCCTGTGTGGTTCCTTCTGCAGATTTGAGTTCACTACCACCAACCAAAAAGGCGCGCAGGAGCTCGATAAGTGTTGATTACATATGTGGCGATCAATGGGCATAGCACTCTGATGTTATTCAGCGCAGCCGCTCTGTTTAGTGAATTGAAGGCGTTTGAGGCGTCAACTAGTAAGGCGGCATCAGTTTCATCGGCTTCAAAGATATTGCGCATGGCATATATTGCGGCTTCCCCTCCACTCTTCTGACCAGCGCACACTTGCATGGCCCCGCTTGCGTTGATCACATCTTGTTTTACAGCTCTAGTGACGCATTTGCCTATTATTCTTCTAATCACCTCGCCCACGCCGATTGGGCGAACCTCGCCATTGCCTTTGTCAAGCGGAATAAGGCGACTGGCTAAGATAGGCTCAATGGTCAGCGGATCAACAAATTCTGTGCACAGCCTTCTTGTGAGTGTAGCAATGGACTCACATAGGTTGATACTTGATCTCTTAAAAGACTTGCTCGCCAAGATCCTCTTAAAACCATTGGCGTCCACACCTGAAGGGCCGCCAGACCCTTTAGTTCTTAATGCCTCTTCTCTCACAAACTCTCCATTGATTTCTTGGTACACTGAGTCAGGCATGTCTTCCACGGGCCCGAACGACAGTGACCCTAGTTTAGCCCTTTGCGCATCAGGGTGTTTTTCTCTTAGTTGCCTCACAACACCATCGGTCAGCGGTAATACTCCTCCACTATCATCCTCACTGAAATATCGTAGGGCCGAATTAATGTGGCCCTCCATGACCAGCTTTGCAAAAATCCGCGCTTTATTTGGTGGATCATTCTTGTTCGACTTTAATAAGAGCCTTTGGATCATTCTCCCTTCGCGTAATAGAGACTCGATCTCGCCATTTCTCCACAGTGTTAACCGTTTCGTAAGACATTTTTTGGAGCGCAGTAGCGAGGAGAACAATAGCGGCTTTTAGCGCAAGGTGTTGCATGGGTGATCTATTGTTCCAGTCGTCAATAAGCTTCGTTAACTGGTCAATAAAGTCACGACCAGTTTTACCATACGGGAAGAAGGTGTTTTTTCTCCATGTTGTTACTTCATTATACGCATCATCGATCGTTGCAGTGGTGATTGTTATCATTCCCCGTCGGAACTTCGGCCCCAGTTGACCAATCCTGGCAAGTTGACAGTCGCATAAGTAGGTAGACACTCAGGAACATCATCAGACACATCCGGCCAATCGATCGCTCATTGTAATTCTGCTTTCCATTGGGATTTGCAGCGGCTCTGCGCTATGCAAATTCAGGCCTCTTGTTGGAGAATTAGCATTTCCACTTTCTCTATTTTGGTTGTTTTGACTTTCATTTTCAATATTTTCCTGACTAAAATATTCACTTGTAGATGTGATGTTCCCCGGATCCTCGACACTTCTCTCTCTGATGGATAGATCTGTTCCATTATTTCTTGTTTTCTCCAACCTCGATGCCTGGTCCCGTAGATTTTGGCTCTTCAATTGTAAATTCTTTTACCCCATATCATCCCACAACTCCTTCATAACGTCAATATATCCTATTTTCCTTCCATTCTCGTTTCAAGGAGGATTCTCTGAAGAAATAAGCTCCTGCGCTTTTTTCTTGCGCTCCAAAATATCCTTATTCATCTGTTCTGTCCATTTTACTTTCAGCTTCCTCGCCTGACGTGACATGGCATTCAGTCCTCCTCGAAGTTGGAAAGCTTCAAATCGAAGCTCCAGATAGTTTATTCAGATAAGATTATGTGCAATTTTCAAGCCAGGGAAATGACACGACACGCTGAAATTTTGTTCATTTAAAAGATTTCGGCCGTGTGTAATTCAATTTCGCTTAAAGTTAGAGATCTCCAGGTTATCTGAAGCCAGAAGCCTGCGATGCTCCAAAACATGCCACGCAAATTGATGATAATAATAATAATAATTATAATGATATTAATAATGATTTCAATCATCCGAGAAATAACTTTTCACAACGAGGCCGTTTCGTTTGGTCAGTTCTTAGCAGTCGTTGAGATTTTGATTCTATACTATCACCAACTGTTTGCTTTCAAGGGCTTCCGCTGACAAAAGATACAGATTCCGGTGCTAAGTACTTATCTTTGTGTTTTTTATCTATCAACTATGTCTTTTGAATGCGCCCTAAAACGGCAAGGTTACGAATCGACTAGAACTTTGAAACACTTCACCATCTTGGAACTTACCCTTGATACATTGCGAGTTTTACTTAATGATTTCATTTAAGTTTCCTTTCAAATCAAATTAATAAATTTGGCTGTAAGCCTGAAACATTGTTTTGAAATGATGTTCAATGTTTCATGTACTGATTTATTTGCACTGATAAACAAAGAAGGCATTGGAAATAATCTTTTTATTGTCAGTCTCGTTTCAATGTTGAGAAGTACTTCTTCAAATGCACGAAAAAATAGTTAAAGCTACATTTTCACGATTGCTATCAGGTTAATTTGTAAAGTCTTTGACATAAACCTTTAATCGGATAGTACTTACATTTTCTCCTCTAGAGAATCCTACTGTGGCCAACGAACTAATAAGAGTGAGAGTGCAAACTCAAAAATTGTTGCTGATATGATTTATCGAAGATGTACTTTTTTAACTTCATGATTTTGCCTTTAGTACCAAGTAATGCACCACAAGCTGTGACAGTTAGTGCGACATCAAACATTACTCTTTGATATTGAGTGTTTCATAGTCTCCGGAGATTTTTTATTGGTTTTGATCGTGTTGCAAAATTCACGTTCACAGATTTTGCGACAGTATAATATCTGGTGATACAAGCTTTCGTGAAAATAGGGTGACGGAAGATTGACGAAGTAAACTTTATGAAAGTTGCTAAAATTCATAATGATTTACTTTTTAACATCTTGATGTAACCTATAAAGCTCTGTGAGCCACCGGAAGCTACATTATCTTTAAAAACAATAGCATTAGAGTGTTAGCATTTCCCAATTTTTTGAAATGGACCAGCAAGTGTTGCCTAGATTGTGGTAAAATTACAGCAAAATAATAGAGCAGTGTCCGTAGAACTAAATACTGTTAACACTATTATTAAGTCTAACTTTGAGATTGATTTATTGTGTGTACGCACGTAAGTAACTTGTTTCCTTAACCCAGAGAGAAAGAACAATGACTGAGCTCCCACTTGTTACAGTCTTAAATAATCACTCTTCCATTACGTCACTCCAATCACTACTTTGAAAAACGAACAGGCGAAGAAGGCAAATTGTTTAAAACATATGATTGGTATGAAGGACGAGGTGCAATTTCATTGCCAGGAAACTATTTTTTTTTGTTTTGGTTTGAGGCTTTAGAATTTTGCTGGTAAACAAAATTGTGTTCGTAAAACAAAGAATGTGCGGGGGTACGAATGATGCAGGTATTTACTATCTTGCCAACTGTAAGGATGCAACGATGCATACATTTGTGTACAGTCTGTTTTGTCGATTCTTTCAAATTAGAAACGATAATTCTCCTAGTCATGATATACTTTTAGTTTCCTTTGTTTCGCCGTCTGTTCTTGAATACAATGATTCGAAGTGCAAGATGAAGCTGTGGTAAAAAAAAAAAAAAATTCTAGAATTTATGCACCCTGTTTTCTGTTCACTGCAGCGTAATGGTTTTGATACGCCTTGAATCAGTTGCAAGAGATCATTTGATTTTAAACTAACATTCTATGATGGAGCGTTTCGTACTCACCGATAACTAAATGTGAAACTGTTATTATATGGTTTTCCTCCATTAGAACCAAGTCGCGGAGCAGAAAATGTTTCATCTAGTGAAGTAAACTATACGACAAACAAAATCACTTGGGCAGAACTTCCTAAAGAGGCGGCAAATGGCGTTATTAAACTTTATGAAGTCCGTCTCGAGTTAAAGGAGAGCTGTTTGAAGGTTGACTTTACCTTTCATGCGATGAACACAACCAAATCAAGTGTATTACTGACTGGCTTCTGGATGTGCGCAAAGTATGAAGTGTCCGTTAGAGGTTACACTGTGGCAGGGCCTGGACCCTATAGCAAAGCTATAGTCGCTCAAACAAAAAGTAGGTTGGAAAAGTGAAACTAATGATCTGTTGCAGAGTTTTCATCAAGTTATATAATTTTTTTTGTGTCCCGTACCTTGTCCTTATCCTAAACCTTAACAAACACGGCAAAGTGTTCAGCATTTTCGTTGCCTGCTTCCCAATGACATAGTGTAGCCAGATTACTAACCTATTGAGTTTTTATTTTCAATGTGGGTGTAAGTTCGGTCCTTTCTTTTGCTTGCACAGGTTTGAAATTATCCCAAACGTGGTCAAAAGAAACACCATCTCCACCTTCCTTCTCTCAGATTCCAAGTGGAGAAGGCATAACAGCAAACATAACATTACCACGCTTTCCAGGGAATGCAAAGTATGAGCCCTTTTATTCAACTCTTTTTTCTTTTTTAAGTGAAGAATTTGCAAATCTTCTAAGCTTTATGCGGAATTAATGAACATCCTACTTCACAGGTTCTTTCAAGTCATTGTTATAAGATACAGCTTGGACTATACTGGTGTGGTTAACTCACCTGAGAGTTTTACACCGAAGGATTTAATGACGTATGAAGAGGCCCACAAATCTCCGGTTCCTGCAGCGTATATCACTTTTCAGTTTAGATGGCAGGACTTTGATGTGTTCCGAAAATTTGTTGTTGGAGATGGAGGACATTCAAGCAGTAAACCAAGAAATAGGAGAGGCAGTGATGGGGAGGTCTTTCTTAACAAACCACTCCAGCCAAATACCAATTACAGAGTGTTTCTCAGAGCTTTTATAGAGAAGGTAAAGTGACGAACGTCCTCTTTTGAAAATGCAAATTTCTAGGACAAAATTCAATCTTGTTTCACTCGCATTACATTCAACCATCGCTTAGCAAGTTACGTGCCACTTTTCGGCCAATCAGTCAGTCAATCGGTCCGTCAGATGTAATCTTCATTGACGCCTTTGATTTCAATTGCACGATGGGGAACAAGTAAAAATACTTTGGGTACAGAAAAAAATCTTAGAGTTTTATGGATGATTTCTTTCTTCCTGCTTTTTTTATTGCAGATGGTGTACTTTTCTAGTAACTTCGTAACGATTGAAACCAAAGGTAAAGTTCATAGAATTCGTTTGTCACTGAAACGACAAATTTTCAACCAACTCGAACAAATAAATTATTTATTGCTTATGTCAATGAACAGCTACTTCAACAACCCTTTAGGCAATAAATCACGGAGTACTAGTTTCTTTATTTTCTCTGAGAGACGTCCCGTTTGTTAGGCTCTCGCATTCAAATTCATTGAGACCCTTATTTTATATGCCCTTTAAAAGGTAGATCCCGGGTAATTTCTTTTTCTCTCTGAGAAAAGGATCCTTCCGTTTTGTTATTGTTGTAAAAACTGCCGCTAACTTAGTGAAATTCTACCAGGCGAGCCCGCCGTCAAAGACCTACCGGAAAGAACCATTTTTCAAGTTGGCGATGTGGTAGTATTAACATGTGAGGCTACTGGAGATCCTAAGCCTTCTGTTACATGGAGTAAAGATGGAAATACCAGTATACCACGGGCTCAGTTCAGAAACGATGACCACATTCTTGTCATTCAAGAGGTCGCACCTAGTGACGGAGGCATTTATGAATGCAGAGCATCAAACATTTTTGGCCAACGCCGAACAGCTACAGCAGTGATCATTGCTGGTAAGTATCATCAACCGTGGTATGACTGGCCACAAAATGAAATTTTTCCTTTACGCGAGCAGAAGCTAAATACGATTGATGTCAGATTTCATGAGTGAAATATTCGAACCCAGGACCCCATGACCTTTCAAATTACGGGTAGAAACTATGCTTATCAGCTTTCAGAAAGTATTGGAGGTTTTTTATTAAACGTTCTCCTGCAAACGCCACCTACTCTTATTTTTTGGCTATATGAAAGATGTTGAATCTTACCTTTTTACCTCCTTTTTAAACTCAGTGCCACCCAGCATCATGAAAGACGTTTCCCCTAGATCAGTTCTATGTGCAAAGGAAACTTCATGTTCTTTGCTATGCCACGCGACTAGTGACATTCTATTTAACTACTCTTGGGCAAGGAATGGCCAGGCTTTAGCTGGCCATAACATCAAGGTCATGAACAACAGTGTTATTATCACTCCTCTTGATGATCAAGACTTTGGAGATTATGTCTGTCACGCCACAAACTCATTTGGATCTACATCTTACAAAATAACTTTGTCAGAAAGCAGAAAGGAAGAAAATAGTAAGTGTTGTCAATGTTAAACGCTTTCAACGTTCAAGAAACAATTGATCCTTTATAGTTATATCTGATTGCGTAGGTAGTGTCTATGGATACTTAACTACGTCCACAGTGAGATATGAGATGATCGTACGAAAAGAGTCATGGCGAAATTATAAAAGTTTGTATTGGAATATTTACAACCGATGTTAGGAATATAAAATACAATCACATTCTCAATAAAAATATCTCACCTTACTTCCACAATGTATCGCTTGTTATCTGACCGCTCACTATGTTGAAAAGAACCCATTTTAGCGAGTTATCCATTTCTAGGTTACTACCTACATAAGAGAAGCCCAAAGGCTGCACACTCCATCTCCGGACGCCTGAGCCGAGAAGCGGAAAATCCAAGCTCAAAATGACCGGGCGGCCACAAATCCATCACAGAATCCAAGCACATATACTGTAGTTTCATTTCAATTCACTAAAAACTAAACTCAATCTTCTCCGTGAAACCGACGCTAAGCCGCAGTTTGCCTCAAAAATTTCTAGTTTACACGTTTCTAACGGCCCGCGTACATAGTCACCCTGATACACGACCGTTGAACACTGGCATGATAACCCTGCCTTATTTGCAAATTGTGCCTTGCCGGGAACCACACCGTCACTTGGCACCCGTGGTTCTAAAACAATTTGTAGATGATTGGTGACAGTGAGGCGAGGCTCAAATTGAAAAGAAGGCTGGGTTAGAAAACTGGAAATTTTTGAAGCAAAATGCTGTTTAGCGTCGGTTTCACAGGGAAGATTGAGTCTTTAGTGAATTGAAATTAAACTACAGTATATGTGCTTGGATTCTGCGATGGATTTGTGGCCGCCCAGTCATTTTGAGCTTGGATTTTTCGCTTTTCGGATCGGGCGTTTGGAAATGGAGTGTGCAGCCTTAGGCTTCTCTTATGTACGTGGTAAACCTAGAAGAGGATAACTCGCCAAAGTGGGCTCTTTTCAACATAATAAGCGGTCAAATAACAAGCGATGCACTGTGGAGGTAAGGTAAGGTATTTTTGTTGAGAATTTCATTGTATTTTTTATTCCTAAGAGCGGTGGCAGGAATGGGCTCCTGGCGGTCGTTAATATTCCCCTACAACTTTCATAATTTCGCCATGACTCTTATTTTGCAAGATGATCATCTCACAGCTAGAGCTTGAGCCGCCTGTGCTATGTCAAACAAGTTTTGCATGAAACGTTAAAGGAGGCTCTTCAGGGTTTTTTGACCGCGCGAAATCTGGGTGCGAACACCAGCTTTAAAAGTGTCAACATGCAAGACAAACATGGCGGCTCAATACGATCACAGTTTAACCCAATACAGTTTTTTTGTGATGGAATCTGTAATTTTCAGCAACTGCACCCGTAATATTCATAGGCCTTATACGCCTGAAAAAAAGAGGTCAATTAAACAGAAAACACCGTGGGAAAGATTGCTAAAAGGCGACGGAATCGAAAGTTTACGAATGCTCAGATACAGATTATGGCGAAGTTCTATTCCATTACGTAATGTTCTGCGACAAAGAAAATAGGGATCTTTCAAGCAAGATTTATTGTGTTTCCATCGGTGGAATTTCCTAAGATTTTCTAGTGCCTCTTGATAAAAAAAAAGTTCGTAAGGCTAAATTTGAAATAACGGAAGAAAACACAAAATTGCAAGTAGCAAAGAAACATCCTTTGTAACCCCTCTTTTTTTCGACTTTTAAATGATCGCCAGGACATATTTTGCAAATTGTGTAAATTTTTAAGAGATTTCAGCGGGGCAAACTGAAGAAAATCAAAGGCAAAGCCAAATTATCACGAGCGCCTCCCTTCGTGAAGCCTTAGCTAAATAACGAAAATCATTTTGATAATATTTATTAAAGCAAACGATATTCCGAACCTTGCTTATCGCCTTTTGATGACGTTTAGTGACATAGAAAAGCGAAATCATAAAAATTTTTAAGCAAATATTACGCTGGCGTGCACACCAACATTGACAAAAAACCCTGTGGAGCCTCCTCAATTTGAAATTAAAATTATATTTTTTTATTTCTTATCTTTTAGTGTATTACCAGAGGAACCTACAGAGGGCCAAAATCTAAGCAAATGCGTTTAAAAACGAAAAAAAAAAGATAAAACGAAACGATTAAGAGGCAAAATACTTAATAAGTGTAAAAATGACAAGGACTAATGACAAAACAAAAATAAAACAACAACAGCAACAACAAACAAACAAAACAATAAACAAACAAGACGTCGGGCCATCATTGACAATTAATTTAGATTAGAACACTAGGATCAAATAATGCCAACCTCTATGCCACTTATAACTTTAGAATTGCCTTTTTTACTCAATTTGAATTTCATTTTGACTTATTTTTAACGAAGAAGGGTTTGATTTTTTTTATTATGTTTCATAATAATCAATGATGTGATTTCGAGGGATTTGTTTCACTCAGTGTACCTCTATTTATCTGTATATTTTCTTTTCTTTTTGAACAGATGTACAGAGCATCTTTCGGGCCAGTGACATTGCGTGGTCATGCATTGTTTTTGTGTTGCTTTTTTTCATTGGTGTATTGATATGGAGGCTTAAAAGAGCTCAGGCGAGCAACAGACCAGCGACTGCTAAGGAATCTACCGGTAGAGATACTGTCCAGTCTGTCTTTCCGCTTGAGCAGCATGCGTCAGAACCAGGGTCATATATGGAGCTACGCCCCAGGCCTTCGCAAGGACAAACACGAGTCCCCCCTGAATACCAATCCTTACAAGGTAGCCACGTGAACGCTGGGTATTACAACGTGGTTCCCGAGGAAGGAAACAAGAGGGGATCAAATGAAGAAATATATGAGGAAATAGAACTTTCTGATTGTTGATTTCTAGTTTTTTAAGGGAGTTCATTGTTACACAATCGCATATAGATATAAATAATAACAACAACGCTGTAGCTTACTCGCCAACTACGCGTGAGATAGGAAGGTATTTAGGTGTTGTCATAAAATTTGCCTCTGCAGTGGATGATTGCACAATACACTAAATCTGTTTGAAAATTGGCTGTAAGGTCTGTCCGTACAATATATTATGAACTGTCATTTTCCCAATTAACAAATAGAGAAGACTTGACTGTGCTCTGCTCTGTTGTAAAGCACGAACAAAGAGGCTAGAGCACAAAAGAAATGTAGGGAGAAACGCGAGATGTAGTCGAGTATTTCTCTCCACTTCTAGAGAAACTAGAGAAAAGAAAAACTAGAGACATGGTACAATTTGGCAGATGGCGTGACAGCTTTAGCTCTATGCTCTACACTCACATAGAGCACGCTCTTTCAACCGATGAATATCCGAACTTAATTATAATAATGGATAATGGATGAAACTCGGTTCGCAACTCACAACTTGGACCTCGAACTCGGTTAGGGACAGGTAATTATATATCGCTGGGAGGGGTGCGGGGAGATTTTGTTGCGATAAAGGAGTTTTTATGTAAACCCCCTTAAAGTGTACAGGCGTTTTTTTGAAATTTTATTTTATCCCTATCTGTTGGCGAGGGAATATTTCATGATGCCCCCTCCCTCTTCTCTGCAGCCATAACAAAAGGATAGTGTTACTTCATGGATACAAGTGACACTATATCAATGCTTACGTCTCATGTACTTTTTTTTAAACTAGATACTAGTTTAGATGCTAGTGAACAGCACTGCACGAATTGAAATCATAAACTGAAACATGTTTTATTATTATTCTGGGCGCTTCTTCCGACAATAGCAGACTTCGTCAAGGAGTTTTTACAAGTAGGGAAAATAAGCTTGCATAATATACACATGGTAAATGCAATGTCTACTCTCGACCTACACGCATACTGTGAAGAAATCGTAAAGTTTCTAAAATGTGTGACAAAGGTGTTTTAAAAGCATGACATTTTCCGAACGTTACATATACGAGTACGTGACGTGTTTGGGGGCGTCTAAGGCTATTTACTTACAGAGATAAGCGAAATTTGCTGATTTGGAAATTTGATGATAGCCTTCTTAATACGTGCGTGGTTACAGTTAATTGTAGTCTTAAACAAGCGCTGTAATTGACTTAGCTTTTAGCAATTAAACTTAATAAACGCTTTCTTGTTATCAGAATGGTGGAATAACTCGAAAGGGATATACAATTACTTATTGAGATATTCTGAAAGGTAGAATAGTGCATTGTAAACGTACCAGACAAGATATCTTTACTTTTTTGAACAGAAGTAAATCAGGAAAGGAAATGTGACTCTGGCTAATCATGCACGTAAGCTTGATTCGATCATTTTTGTTTTCTTGAGCTAAGCTTATCAAGAAATTCGATAAGGGTTTCCTTAGGACCTGCCCAGATAGCAACTGATGATGTCATCTTTAAACCGCTTAGAGCAACTGATGACGTCATCGTTAATCCGCTTATATAGCTTTAAGTAGCGAGAGTATATTGTAACGACATCTTTCGCGTGGTAATACATAGTACATAGCAGGGTGCCCACCCATGAGGGGACGCAAATCGTCTGCACTGTAAGTACATATCAAGCTCTGTAGGTGATTTAATCCCATTTTAATCCCATCCGATCTCACAATTTACGAAAACTTCATTATTCTTGTGAAAAATGATAGCCGTCTTATTGAACCTTGATGACAAGTATAAGCCGGCAAAGAAAACAGTGCAAAAGCAATTATCTGTCACATCGATGTCAGCAGCAACAGGATTATGACACCTTACAGTCCCCATACATTTTGCTAGACTAAAAGTCTAAGAAAATGTAGGGGACTCTCTGGGATACTTACAGTACAGACGATTTGCGTCCCCTCATGACTTCAAACATTTCTCTCCTTTTTTTTTTCATGGTCCCCCTCCCCCCCCCTCTCACTTAGTGCCTGTCAATTGGGGCCGAATCCTCCCCCTTCTGTTCTCATGAAAACCATGCGATCCCCCAAAATCTGATCCCCCCCTTTAAGGCGGTCCCTCAGTAATATGGAGTGATAGCCAGTATCGTCTCATAAACGTTATATATTGTCAAGAGAGTATCAACTCAGTTGTTCTCTTGATATTGTATAATAATCGCTGTTGGCCTTTTCTAAATCTCCGGTTTAAATCTGGGTACAGCGCTGAGATTGTTATTCTGAATTTTCTTGTACGTTTTCTTCGCATAAATATAATTTTACCCATTTTCAGTCAGACAAACAACTTTTTAAAATTTTTAAGACTCGGTGTAGTCCTTTCAAGTGATTGAAAAGCAACCCGCTATCAATAGGAGCCATCAGCAAAACTGTCATACTTGAAGTTTGCTTTCAAACATAATGAGTTTGTTCCTGTCGTTTTTGTGTCTGCTGCATTTATAATGCATGCAGACACTTAGATAAGCTGTAAAACGCGCGACCAGCTACTTCATATACGACAAGATCTCGGATTTACTCTTGACGTTTCACTGCGGATTCCATTTGGTGACACGATACATGAAGTATGCACGGAGGGGTAATACTTTCGGCCTGTAATACTTTCGGCCTGTAATACTTTCGGGTGCAAACTTCGTTCCTCAGGGGAATAATCTATCCAATCGGATACGAGGAAAGGACAAAGGAAAGAGGTCGTGGCAAACTACCGATTTCCGGGAAGACTCGGAACCAATCAAATCTGAGAAAAGGACAAAGTCAAATCCGTCAAACTATGTGCTTTCGAAAAACGTTTGGGTTGCGTCGTATCGTCCTGATTTCGTTCGTCAAGCCAGGGTGTATTATTGCTTGCAAGGTGAGTGATCTTTTCGCTTTTCATATTTGTAATGGATTTCTTAAAAGGTGTTTTCTCATTTTGCCACAGCATTCGCACTGGGTGTCATTCCGGCCGAGTGAAAGGTTTTGAAAGATGCTTTGAATTTGTAAATCGACTGAAGCTTTCTCGGCGCCAACACGATCACCGCCCGGCCATTTTGCAAGTGCTCAGGACGCAAAATAAGCTTTATGAGCCCCATTTGGGGAATGCAAAGTCCCTTCGGGGAACAATTGAGCTCCATTTGGGGAATGAAAAGCCCGTTAAGGGAATTATTAAGTCTCACTTGGGGATTACAAAGCCCAATGCGGGATATAATATGCCCTGTTTACGAAATGGATTTGGCAGAAGATACATGTATTTCACTACACACATGAAAACATCTATCACTAGACAAACATGTGCGAAAGCTGTGGCGATTTTATACAGAGGAGAGAAACCTAGAACTAGTATTCTTCATGATAATTACTATCTAAGCATCGCTATGAACAGATCTTTGCATACAGTTGTAAGGTATCAATGCTTTCAAAAATTGGAATCCTTCATCAAGATGAATCAAGCGCTCAATTGCTCCTTCACATTTCAACTGTCCAGCATTTGAAGATTTGCTATTTCCTTTGCACTTCCTAAGTGCAACTTGTGATTTTCTTAAGAGAATTTTCATTTGAAGCTTTTTTGTTTTGAAGAATATATTTTCAACACACATAGCAGCTCTCCTATCTGATCGTCTTAGTTCAGATTTACAAATGTCGCTATAATGAACATTAGCTAGTCTATCTTTATTTTCTGGTCGACTTTGACCAAGGAATATACCAGGATATGCTAACTCTTCAGAATATTGATCTCTGAATATACTTAAGGGTTTGTTTCCCTCTCCTGGTGCAACATTTAAAATACGTTGAGGCAGACTGTCTTCAAAATAATGTGTGTTGGTCAACATGGTGTCAGTAACACCAGCAGGTGTTTCTGCTTCATCTTCAGTCCACTGATCATCATTATCATTACTGTCATTTCCATCTTGCTTATTGGAACCACTGCTCTTTTCTATTTCTTGTTCACTTTGATTTTCAGTATTAGTATCATCTAATAAACAGTTTGCAGTATACTGCACTCCCCAACCTTCATTTAGTGTTATTCCTTCCTGTCTGTAGAGGCTGCTGTTGTTGATTGATTTATAATGAATAAGTAAACAAATAAAAAATTATAATTCACCTAGGTAAGTTTTTTTTTTTGGCATTTTGTTGTTATAGTTAAATTTGTAGTAGTAGTTGTAGTCGTCGTCGTCTTTTGATGCAGTGCTCCCTATGTTATTAGAAATTTTGAAATACATTATATTGCTATGAAACAAACTCAAAAGGTTCTTTTTCACTTGCAGTCAATGGAAGAACAAAAAGAAGAGATTGTTGGTTTCTTACACAATGTGTCTCCAACTTAAAAAAGTAGCAAGACATCTTACTTTGACATGTCCTTACAAACCACCGATGGCTTAGTAAGAGGAGTCTGCTTTTCCGGAAGTAAACAGGAACACTTTGATCAAATGAGCAAAAAGAAATCTCCAATAAAACTTCGAAATTTTAGAATTGAAAGAGCAGGAGATGCAACCACAGTACTGATGAATAACAATGTACTGTTAGAGCCTACAAAAGAAATACCTTTTTCAAGAATTGAGTTGCCAAGTGCCAACAATATCCAATCAATTTCAGCTGCAAACACAAATCAAAGTATCACCATCAAAGCCAAACTTATTCAGATGTCATCAACAAAAAAAGTGAAGACAGAGGATGGTGAAAAAAAAAAGTTGTTTGCCTATCTTGTGGACCCACACGGAGCCATTAAGGTGACACTTTGGGAACAATTCTGTGGATCTCATTAATCCTGCTGAGCTACCTCAGAACTTTACCAATACAACAGCAGCAGCAGAAATACTTGGAGTGCGAAGTGTCACTGCATATCAAGCCTGCTGCAACTGTAACAAAAAGCTGGTAATAGAGACATCTCCCATACTAACCTGTTCAACTTGTGGGCTCAAGCAGAATATGAAGTCCACCATTCAACAATGTTATGGACAACTACTGGTACAAATTAAAGAATCGAAGATCACAGTAACCCTGTTCAACGACATTCTGCATGATATGCCAGCGTCACAAGGAAAGAGCACTCTTCCGATCACTGAAGAAACAATAACTGCCTTTCTTCTAGAGTTACCAACTATAACCAGCATAACATTCAACAACAAACAAAAATAGTGGAGTCAGTGCAAATCTGAATAAAATGAACAATTTCCTGTCACACATCAGTGGAAATTACTACTGAATACCAAACGTTAATAATACCTGTTTTGTTATAGTTTGCAACAAACATTTTGTAGACACTGGTTTTAAGTGAAATGATTGTTTCTCTGACTGATAAACATTATTTACAAGTACACGTGCTGCTTTTTTTGGGATAATATTTCTGTTGCGTTACATTTCTGATACATTTCATTTCAATTAAAAGACAAACACTTCAAAATACTTTTAAAAGTATATTCACCTATTAGTTACTTGAACACAACAATGTAAATATACTAACTTTGTTTTACCTATGTTTTGTTCCAAATTGATTGCATATTACCATTAAATGAAAAACATAATGATTTCTTAGGAATTATTACAACCAGAGACTTTTTCTTGCTTTGCAAAACTGCTACTGCGTTTGCATTACAGTTGTCTTGTGTTACAAAGACTTCAGATACTATTCAATTTTGTTAAAAACTATAGGCTGTTGTATTTCAATTCTTTGATTTAAATATTCTGCTACAAATCGAAATACTAATAATGAGTCCTTCTTTTGCTCCTTTTTTCGGCTCCAAGTGTTCAGAATAGTGTTTACCTTCTGAAGCGTGTGGATAAACTATCGAAGATGTAAAGAAATAGCATTAATTCTAGTTTCCGCGGAATTACGTTGGTAAACAAAATAATTGACAGTTCAAACTCTGACAGGAATGAATGTTTGAGAAGTTACCATGCGGAAATCGATAAGGTTTTCCATCAGAAAAATGCATTCGAAGACCTAACAGTGTACATCTCGTACGGAATTCCAAATGTATCAGGAGTCCTTCTTTATAGTGATTAAGATGAGGGTTTATGACAGTTTTCGATTGAAAAATCTAAAATAACGAAACTCCGAACTCGACGGAAATGCGTGACCCATTGGTCAATAATTATTTAAGACACGTAATCGATACCTTGCAATGATCATCTTGTTACAGAGCATTGTCGGCATAGCGCGGAAGTTCGTTCTATCGACTAGTCGCTTCTTTATGTTGAAAAAGGCGGCATATGTTCGCTTTAAAGCAGCCTGATCGATGTGAAAGACAACAAAAGACATCCTGTGTAATGGAGGCAGGTTCACTTACAATCTTTCTGTGTGCTCTTTTCATATTTTCTGCCGAAGGTAAGGTTTACAGGCATCTCATTGTTAGAAGCCATTTTATGCTTGTATTTATTGACAAAAGTGAAATCATGACCTGACGAAGTAGAAACTGCCGAGAAGAAGCTTAAAATTTGCGCTGTTTGGACAAAATGTATTGTTTATTTCTGATCTTGAGAGTTTGATTCAGCTCGGATACGTATCTGAAAATCTGAAAGTTTACTATGGTCGTCAACGAACGTGTCGGAATTGAAGTGAAAATGTCAACAACGACTGTAAGGAACCCTGCCGTTTCAAACCGTCTTTCGTGCTTTCGTGCTTTCGTGATGTGAGGCTCGACAGAGAAAGCGGTGGCTATTAACTATCACGAGAACCGTATGAACTGTGAGACAGATATAAACAAAGCAACGAGAAATGCATGTACGTGCCTTATGTAGTATATAGAAAACATGGAAAACCAGCGCAAAAGTGAAAACGGTTTCCACGGAATAAAACATTGCTAGTGTAAGTCCAGGCTTCATTAGATGTATCGAAACCAGAAAGAGGCCATTTTTTTTCCAGTTCGTCGCGTACTGTTACGAATCTGAGATGTTGTGCTACAAAAGCGTCACTCGAGACCTCCGTGTTTGCTCGTGATAGTCACGTGGATTAACTCAGTTGCTTCCTGTCTGCTACAAATTATAATGGCGTTTTTGGTGACAAACAGCTCTTTAAATCCGTTCAATTTTCGTTCATAAAAATAAATTTATCGTATACAATAGCGATTCATTTTTGCATATCGTGACTGCGGGACGAGGAAAGAAGATGAAACGTCAAGTACAAAACATATTCTGAAAATAGTTGAGTTTCTTGTCCTAAGGCGGCACTGTATTTTCACACAGTGACCTAAAACGCTCCCATAATGAAGGGAAATAAGTGTGAGAAAACGAAACGCATTCTTCTCTAAGGTATGATGCCAGAATAGCACTTGTTAACACGTCCTGACGGAAACTCAAAGATATACTTTAATCCCATTAATGGTATTTTTCTTACCGCAAATTCTATAAACTGCTATCATGCTGGATGATCTTTTTAGAAACAAGTCAGCTACTTCTTCAACTTTTTGTCTCTACCAATTTACAAATTAATTTATGCACAGTAATAACACCTGCATTTAAGTGTTATGTTGCCCTACGTCTGTTCGGTAATAGACCACAGATGACGTCAAAAATGTGTTGGGACACGTGGCGCAGCTGAGAGTGTCGCCGATGTTCTTACCACATATTGACGTCTTCCGTGATCTGGTTCAGGCCCACTACAACATGGAATCTATTTTTAGCTCATTCGTGCTGAAAGCAATGAATGAGGTATCGTAGTGGAGCAGATGTTGACGGAAGTTGTCGACTGTGGAAGGAAGTTGTATTCCGTGGACGGAAGTTGCATTATGGACCGTGAAGGGAAGCAGTCTCGCATGCTACCCCTCCCCACTTAATGAAAGTCAAAATTAATTTCGCTGTGACTTCGCAGAAAAGCATCAGCATCAGAGGCAGCCATATTGGCAAGCCGTGCATTTGTGTTCGTCTTCAGTTGGTATGGAGTAATCATTGCTCTATCTTTGTGCTTGTCCTCGGGAGCTCTTCAACATATGCATATACAGTCAACACATTAATTATAACGGCCAAGATAGTCTAAAATTTTCTTTCGAGCTCCATTATTTCGGTCCGGACTTGAGGTTCGCTCAAACAAAAACAGCAATACCATTCCGGTCAGTACAAAATGCAGAATGCAGACTGCGGACCGGGTGCAAAATGCAGATTAGGTTCAAAATGCAGAGTAAGTACAAAATGCAGAGTAAGTACAAAATGCAGACTGGAGACCGGGTGCAAAATGCAGACTGAGAAGTTATACTGTTTTTTCGTCTGATACGTGATAACATGTCATCTTACAACTTACCGAGCGTCACGCAATCGCTTTTCCGCGATCATCTTTTAAGATTATTTGCACTATTGTGTACTATCCCTTTCCCGTTTCTTAATCACAGACGTTCTTAATATAATTTCAACCTTCTTAGAGTCTTCTCACTTTGCGCACGAGTTGGTTGGTATGATTTCTGTACAGAATTTACCAATTTAATAAAAGTGGATGTAGATGTAGATGTATGAGATATCACTATCGAATATTTAACACGCGCAATATTCGAGAAACAATTGACAGCTTTGCACGTGGTCCATACGTTTCATCTTTTTAACCGATATGTGTTCACTGTGTTGGTTGGTGCGTTGATTTCGTGACTGGCCATTTGTTTACTTTCTGGTGGTTTTATCTCTCATCTGTTCGGTGACTACGCAAATATTAATATGTGAAAATCAGACTACATGAAAGCATGAAATTATATTAGAAACTATTGTGGCCGCTTTGTTAAAAACCAAATGCAACGGCCGCTTAAAAGTAAAAGATATCAAGAAACAGGCAAGGAATATTTCACAACAGTGCAAATGATCGTGAAAGATGAAGGTTACAAATATTTTGCTGCTAAAGCAACATTTGATGCCTGATCATGCCCACCCAGCCCACCCTCCGCCCCACAAACACACACACACACACACACACACACACACACACACACACACACACACACACACACACACACACACACACACACACACACACACACACACACACACGCACACCAACATACAGGACACTGTCTGCCTGATGACCTCTGCCCATCCCACCTCCAACCCACACAATCTTATTTCCAATTCCCATCACGACAAATTCACAAGTTTTCATATCACACAACTGCCAAAAAAGAAAACATAACATAGACTGAATTCAACTGTACCTATATTCAACAAGTCCAAGATATCAATACAAACTTAAGCCATAACATGAATGAGCTGGCTCCAAGAGCCCTTTGATTTCATGATAAAAAATTGCGAAATAATGGTAATGGTAATATCATCTATGCGTCTGTTTTCCAATAGACTTCTTGTAGGAACCAATCAAAACGCGTGCGTCACTCAGTTTATCATGTTATCCACGAATAAATTCCATACACGTGCGTCTGTTCTTTGATAGATTAAATATGACGTCAAAATAAGGTATTAAAAAAAAGTGGCACACGGGGCACAGTCGGGTGTGTCACAGATGTTTTTATTGCATTGAATTTTTTACTTATTCTGTGATGTGTTAATAAACACTAACGCCCGGCAACAAGGCCTATATTTGTCTTAAAAATTGAACAAGCAAAGACTGTTTCTTATGACGTCATCTATACATCGGTCCTCCAGTAGATCATTTGATAACCACTACAAATGCATGCATAATTGAGTTCATCATTTAAATAAAGATAGTAATAAAAAAGAGAACCTCATGAGGATACTTAAAGATAATTTTAGAGGAAGCAAAGTCGAAATATTCCCATGACATACTAAAACTGTTTAAAATTTTCACAGTATTTAGGCAACTTTAATTTGATGTTCCTTTTTACTTTAATATCCTTACAATTAACAATTGGTTCATGCGTCAGCATACATTCATAGAGATATGAAGCACGCTCGTGTTATGTAATTTAAATACCTAAATTTATTAGCTATGTCATGATGTCAAGTTGTGCAGCGAAGAGGATATTAGTTCAACATTTGTCATAAAGTAAATTTTCAACGTTTGTATCATCAGGTGCGCCGAAGTTCACTAAAGAACCTCAAAACCCATTGCTTGTTGTGGAAGGTGACAATATTACCCTTGAATGGGGGTATACATTTGGCGAAGGTGAATCACTCCTGCTTCTGTCCATTGTAAAAGGTAGACTCATTGTGGTGAACAAATATCCCAGCGGACTCTTTATACCAACCTCGTACCAAGGTCGCTTACACGCGAACATTACCAATAGTTACGCATCAGTCACTCTCCTCGGAGTGAATAGATTGGAGATGGGAAGCTACACGTTAAAAGTATCGTCTCAACCAAGTGGAGAATCAAATTCAAGTACAGTGAAGATTTCAGTACAATGTAAGTACAAAGAACCTGCTAAAAACAAGGTTACAGCAGCACACTAAAAATATAATTTCCTTTAACTTTGTCACTTAAATAAGGAATGATAGTCCTTACTTGTAAGTTGAACGTTGAGCCATAGCTGGACCAGCAGCTCTAGTTACGGTGGTTTTGAGAGGGACATAACATCATTCTCTGTCGTGGACTGGTGACAGATATAACTGGTAGCGGGGAGACGCTAAGCGCACTTGATCGACCAAAAGAGCGCAAAAAGACACTGGTTGAATGATTTTCATTCGCACAATCGCGGCCGTATTCTCAATAGTCAAGGAGCTATTTTCTGAAAAAGCCTTATTTAACGAGTTGCTTCAACCCACCCGACAGATAAGGTTTGACAGCTGATTCTGATAGACCAATACCTGCTCTTTACCTGCTCAATACCTGTGACAGTCACGTGACATGCTGTCGTACCATGTGAACACTCAAATTGTAGGCAGGTACATGCTCATCATTTTCTCAGAAGGGTTTGGGGTACTTCGGTGGAAGAAGATGAAATTTGAGGTCAAGTTCTGTTTGAGCCTCGTTTCCATGCTGAGTGCCATATCATGGTGTAAAATCCCATTTATCTCGTTAGCAGTACCACAATTCGTGGCTATACAGTATCTTATCCTAAAGAGCAGGTATTGGTCTGTCAGAATCAGCTGTCAAACCTTTTCTGCTGGGTGAGTTGGACGAAACCAATTTTTGTTGGGTCTAGCTCCTTGACTACAAAGTTCACGTCGGATTGCCTGGCCAGTGAAAAATCAGTGAAACCTTTATAAGTTGGTAGTGTACGTGTTCGACATATGTTTGCAACTATCTATGACGAAATTGTATGTAAAAACTGTTAGTTTTATATTAATTCTCTTTATTGTTTGCTGATGATTACAGATTTAGATAAACCAGATATTCATTCGACGGATATGAGACCTGCAGAAGGAACTGCAGTGAAGATATCCTGTATTGTTGACGGGCAACCGCCACCGATAGTATCATGGACCATGAATGGATCTCCACTAAATACAAGTGGAAATTCTAGGATTTTTCTTAGGAATGATGACAAGCAACTGAATATAATGAACTTGAAAAGAACAGACAGTGGAGAATACCGATGTGTGGCGCAGAACATTCGTGGAAATATTTCTTCCAATGCGAGTGTACTGAGTGTCCGATGTAAGAAAACTTTTTTAGTAATTTCGTTTTTTTTTTCTCATAAATTATGTCGCATTTAAATAATTGGCTAAATTACTTGCTCGATTTTTGTATTTGTAATTTATAACCCTAGTTTACCATTTTTTATTTAATTTTTTTAACTATAGAGGAATTATTAATTTACGAAGCATTGCGAGTCTATTTGAAATACTCTCAAATGACCAGGAAACTGCATAGTTTGGTTATGTTGTAACAAACGACAATTAATAACATTTCGGTAAACAAGCATAGTGAACAACTTAAATTTGTGTTAAGGTAATAAAAAGCCTCCGGGAGAACCCTAATTAAAGAAGCCACACCCAGATCACTTTGATGCATTGTACTTCATAGATGATGTGCCTTTTCTTTTCTTTCTTTTTTTTTTCACCAAAAAAAAAATCAGTTGAGTAATTGTAAAATAGTAATAACGAAGAACACTAAATGCGGATGATTTTAAAAATAGCAGTGTAGAAGTATTCTTACAATGTGCAAAAATTGGTTAAGATTTTCGCAATATTTGTGCATTAGATTGTTGCAACAAAAAAACATTAATGACATTTCGGTAAACCAACATAGTGAACAACCCAAATAGGTGTTAGGGTAAAAAGAGGCTCCAGGAGAACCCTAGTTAAAGAAGCCACACCCAAATCACTTTAATGCATTGTATTTCATAGATGATGTTTTCTTTTTATCACCGAAAAATCAGTTGAATAGTTGTTAATGATAAACATGTTAAGAGATATTTTTGGTTATTTGCAGATCAACCGGAGATCGCCCTTAATACCCTGAATGCCACAAAAGTGGAAGGAGAAAACATCACTTGGTCTTGTAATGCTACAGGAAATCCAGAACCGATTATATCATGGATCTTTTACGGTTCTAACATCAATACAACTTACAATCCTAGGATTGTTTTTTCAAAAGGCAGACAGGAAATGACGATAACGAGTATTATCAGGACAGATAACGGGGAATACCAATGTATGGCGAGCAATATGCTCGGGAATGTTTCTTCCCGAGTTGCTACACTTGATGTACTATGTAAGTACGATTGGTTATGGGGAAAACTATTTTTCAGATATTAAGAATGCATGGAAATGTTTGAAGATGAGACTGTACGGGAGACTGTAAATCAGTTATAGCAAAAAAAAATCATCTGGACCGATAAGTTTCCAAAGTCATAAAGTCTAACGCACTAATCTAAGCTTATGTCTCTCCTTCCGTTTTTTATGCATGTGCCCTTCTTAAACTAATCATCATATATTTCGGTGCGACTTTCAATTTTATTGCTTGAAAATTGGAAAAAAGGAAACTGTTTCAAAATTGTTCGCTCATTCCACTGCCTGTGGCAGATGACCAAGTAGAATTCCTTAGTGAACCTGGAGTCACGTTGATTGAACATCTTACACTAGCGTAAGAACCTCTGAAACATTATCACATTCTAGAGCCCGAGGAAAACCTTCAGTCATTTGCGTATTTTACATTTTATCCACTCAATTAACCCTCTACACCCTCGTATCAGTATTTGTTATCTCCATACTATTCTTTATACATTTCGTAAGGTGCTTGCAAGGAGAATCTGTTTAACAATCAAAAGCTTCGTTAGTTGGTGATCATTTCTTTTCATACTATGACTTTAATGTTCGATTCAGGGGTGATATTTTAAGGATAAATTAGATGCTAGTCACTCGTAATAATTAACGGGTAAGAATCCCAATCAAAATGAGATAAATCGGCACTGCTATACGTTTAATCAATGAACAAATTGTTCATATGACAGGTGCGTTATGTCCATGTACTAGTTACAATCTTTTGTTTTTGGTAACGTTAACTTAAGCTTAAGGCATCATACTGTCATCTGCTCGTGCTTTGAACTGACCATATTTCATATCAATCTATGAGTCGCACTCTTCACCGTTTTAAATTTTGTTTTCCAATGGGACTGCTTCGACTTCTAGGGGACAGATCTTCCTCTTTTCGAGGCAACTGAAAATGGTACTTTCTTTTCTATAATATGACCTGTTAATGATCTTCCTTGTCTTATTTTAACGACTGCAGATAAACCTGAGATCAGTCCTCTTCCACGAATGATTCAGAGAACCGAAGGAGAGAAAATGATTTTATTTTGTAACGCCACTGGAAATCCAGTACCGACAATATCATGGATCATAAATGGGTTTTCTTTGGACACTAATAACAGTTCCAGAATGAATTTGTCTTACGAAGGAAAGCAACTCACTATCAAGAATGTGAGAAGAACAGACAGTGCATTGTACCGATGTGTGGCAGAAAACAGTCTTGGAAATGTTACGTCCCATAACACTACCTTGGAAGTGCATTGTAAGTTATGAGTATTTTTAATAAATGAAACCTGAAGTTTTTCTTGTAAAACTGAGACGGTTCATCTTCCTTTCCACGCAAAAGCCTCACTTGGCCATAAAAGCTTTACAAACATTAGATCATATATAACACCCATCAGAGTCTCGTTATCTCTAAAGTCTGAGGGACAATCAACCATAGGGTCGAGATGATGTAGTTATACATAATTATGCTTCCTAATTGACACTGGTTTGAAAGTCGTAGGACAAGTTACCTAAAGGGCCTCTAATAGCGGATTCCAGATTTATTTAGACTGCAAAACCTTGCGGAACTGAACTGGTGAATCTATGAAACTGGTTCGTGAAAATATGACATTTATTTATTATATATGCAATTTACACTTCGTTTTGTAAATGTAGATATACCTGGAGTCACAGTGATTGGTGGTCCACAACAGTTTTCAATTGTTGGTAAAGTGAAGAAACTCCTATGCAAATACGATGCTGTGCCATCCGTGTCTGAAGTGCAGTGGATAAAAGATGGAGATGTGATTGCTAGAAATTCTAGTCTGCTGGTCAACGAGTCCCGCCTTACTGTTTCGAATTACAATGAAAGTCAAATACAGTTACTTATAAATCAAAGTACCTCTCACGATGCTGGAAACTACACCTGTCTTGTTATTAATGCTGTGGGTAACTCATCCCAGATGACGTCAGTCATAAGCCAAGGTACTGAATGCTACTAAGCACTTTACAACTGCCTTTGTCTCTTTTTCGTATATTGAAAATTTAAATCCATGGAAGTGTAGGAATCTCATTTACCGTAAGCGCTCTAAGGAGGCATAGAAGGGCTACTTAGTTCCCTCACCATCTGCATGAGTTGCTTATTGGAGAGGCGGGCTTTTGTCCTCATTTTGGAGAAGAGAGGGGAATGAGGACCAGTTCGAGAGGGGAGCCCTGTTAGTGCGTGAACTGTAGCCCATGTGACGTTACAACAGAATCAATGCAATTAGGAAAAATTCATTCAAAATCTTTAGCTACTCATAGATCTTCGCAATGGAACTACTCCGTCTAATGACAAAAAATACTCGATCACAGGCGAAGACCTTATCGTTCACGTGTAGCACCAAAAGTAATTTTTAAGTAAGAATTATCAAGCCCAATCTGCTTCATTTTTGTCTTAGGAAATCAGGAGCTCTCTTATGTGGGATACAGTGTTTGTTCTATAACTTTTACAAGTTAAAACTACTAACGTATTCTGTTTTAAGAAAAGAACATTTAGCCTCTTGGTTGAAAATACAAATATCGCAAAATGAAGCACCATTTCACTCTATCACTTATGTTTAGAGGGGAAGTTGAATATCAAATTTAACAATTCTTGCTGCTTTTTCACACAGAGCTGCCCTTAATCACCATCCATCCAGAAGGGAAAACTCCAATGGAGGGAGAAAATATAACCCTGTCTTGTAACGCCACTGGAAATCCAGAACCATCAATATCCTGGGTCAAAGATGAATTTCCCATCAACAGCGATTCTAGGATCAACTTTTCACAAGACAATAAGTTATTGACGATAACGAATACAAGCAGAACGGACAGCGGTGAATACCGATGTGTGGCGAGAAATAGAGTTGGAAATGATACCTCAAATTCCAAAGTGAATGTTCTTTGTAAGTGTCGTACACTCTTTTATTTTCAGGTCTTACTTGTTATAACTGTATTTATAATCTTTATAAGTTGCATTGACATCCTGGAACCTTAATTATAAAGTGGTCATATCTCTGCTCTTCCGTTGTCGAAAATTGGATGAAATGGTCGTTTATTTTAACCAGAGGCACAATTTACCTTTGGATGCACGCTCTTGATGCCGAAATGGGTAGTGCAGCTGTAGTCTTTTCTCAAATATTTTTTTCTCACTTATTTCATTAAAAATTTTATCGGATCTATTTCATTTTGTTCATTACCTTGTCCGGTACTTGCCTGTTGTAAAATTCATGGGCCGTCGGCTGGTGATCATTTGTTTGTTAAAAAGTTAAATGTTGGTCGACATCAACAAATCTAGAAAGTGAGATTTGCATGCCGCACGTTCGAATTATTTATCAGCTCTAACACCGACGCCATTTACTTTTCAGTTGAACCTGAGGTTACAATTGATGGCGATCAGGATAAATATATGGCCAAAGGCAGCAATATCCGGCTGATATGTCGGTATGAAGCGTCGCCACCAGTGTCTGAAGTGCAATGGATAAAAGGAACTGTGATTGCTAGAAATACTTCAATGCTGATTAATGATTCGCGAGTGACAATTCCATCTTTCAATGAGAGTCAAATACAGTTGTCAATCACTGCAGCTTCCCTAAAGGATGGGGGAAATTACACCTGTAAAGTCACGAATATTTTAAACAGCACTCAGGATATGACAATGATCATAATTGAAGGTAAATGATAACGAGTTGAACTAGCCAATTAGTGGAGAATAATTCCTTCAGCAACGTTTATTAATCACTCATTGGTTTGAGTCGCTATATCAAAATTGAAACCATAAGGTAAGAATACAATTTTACCACTCCAACTGACGAGGACGTTTTCTCCCGTGCCACATTTACAACAAGATCGTCCTTGAAAACTGCCAATGAGTTACTGTCACCTTCCAACCCCTAAACGTAGTACTCTGTAGGTTATTTTTGGCGCTGTGTATTGTGAGATTACCACACGAATTTATAGAAAATGTTATACAGGCACTGTACAATTCCTGCACCAAAACGCAATATCTAACGAACTTACTAACCGTTAACCAGCCCTCCAAATTCGTTTTCTTTTGTTTTGGTCAGAGTAACACGTATGTATATATATTTTAATTATAATGAGCAGTAAATTAAACAACGGATAAGGTGAGAACTGTTAAATACGTTTGGAAAGCAATTAATATCACATGAACATGAAAATGTGTATTATTTTTTTAAATAGTTTTTTTAATGATAATACTGTATTTATCCACAGATAAACCTGAGATCGTGACGCATCCTCAAAATATCACAACAAGAGAAGGCCAAAACGTGACTTTATATTGTAACGCTACTGGAAATCCAGTTCCAACAATATCATGGTACAAGAATGGATATCCTATAAATAACAGCTTCAGTACCATTTTGTCACCAAGCTATGAACAGTTTACAATAAGGAAGGTGAACAGAATAGATCGTGGCGATTACACATGTCGAGCGAAAAACAGAGTTGGAACGGATACTTCTAACGCTTCCACGATTAATGTTCAGTGTAAGTGACTTAAATTAGCCATTGTACATGAATAAGCACTAGCAGTCCTTTTGATGTACCATAAATCCATCATGAAATGTCAATAATTTACTTGGCTCCCTCAAGCCCGGCCGAACAATTTATTTTAGCACGCTGTTTCAGCCAATCAGAATGCGCGTCATATAGATAACTCATTATAATTGCTTTTGCAGCTCTAGCAATAATTATTTTTTTATCGGCCGTTCTTTCATCTTCCTTTTGGATCAAACTATGCTTTCTTAGTATGGAGGATCTTCTCGCCGGAATTTTTACCTTCAGAGGGCTTCTTTTTCACTGGTTCTTCGTCCTATCACTGTTAGTGTCTTATTCATCTACTCAAGAAGGTAAAAGACATTTTTCATTATTCGAAGAAAGAATTTTAACAGATTTGGAAGCGGAGATCAACCTCGTTAACTTCCATATACGAGGTATAGGCCTTGGCCGCGCATTGACTTCATCAGTTTAAATCTCCGGGTATTCACGATGTAAATGGATTGAATTCTCTCGAGTGCGAGAGAAGGATCGTGTTAAGCGAAATTTGCTTAGATTCACTGTTTCAGTCCATTACCTTAAGCAAAATATTTCGATATTGTAATTTAATTGGAAAGTTTCATTTTTCTCGTGTGATTATCTCAATTAAATCTGCTAACCCGCTTGAATACAGTAAATTTTGATCGAATTCATTTCTTTTAATTTCTTACCAAGGTGAGCTTAGTTTATATTACCTATATATGTTTCGAAAATTACGTATTTTATACTCGCATTTTAAACAAAATACTCATTTTGATCCAAAAGAATTCCGATGATTTTCAAACTAATTACTGATATACTTACTCTTAGTCTATTTCATGTTTTACGAGAAGAAAATTGCCTCGATGGGAAGTGACCAGTATTGTATTTTGAAAATGCTTGTTGCTATCGTAAGTTAGTATATATATTGGCCGGTTTGTTTGTAAGCGATATCGCAACATACATTCTAAATTGGAACCGTTTCATGTACACAGCACAACTAATATCTAGTCGAGCATTATGCAGCCTTTCTTCATAAAGAGTTTCCTTTTGTAGCATCACTCTATGTCCTTGAACCGAAAGATTGAGGAATGATCAGTCAGTTGTCTGACAGCCTGTCCGTGGAGCAAAGACCCGTAATTTGTTATTATGTTATATTTATTTTTTCTTATTAGTCCTTTGCATAGTAAAATTTTTCTGAAATTGCAGTTCGAGCTGAAATCGTCTCTCATCCTCGAGCGAATGTCACAAAAGAAGAGGGAAGTAATTTGACTTTATTTTGTAATGCCACCGGAAACCCAGCACCGATGATATTGTGGACTAAAGATGGATCTCCCATAAACAATTCTAGGATCAGTTTTTCAATACAAAACAGACTGTTGAACATATCAAATGTGAGCAGAACAGACAGCGGCCGCTACCGATGTGTAGCGAACAACAGCCTGGGAAATGATATCTCAAACGTTGCTGCTGTTGACATCCAATGTAAGTTCTCATCTAACTTCTGTATTGGTATGAATACTCTACTTTCTCTTACCAGGGTATGTGTAGCGTTTTGATACTCGGCGTCGACTGACGGCAGCTTTCACGCTTTTTTCTCCAATTCACCCTTCTTTTGTTTCTCTCAACTTTTGCAATAATTATTGGCTAATAAACATGATCTCTGAATAGCATTTGCTCTTACCCTCTTCAGTACACCTTTCATCATATGATTTTTTTTATAGCATAAAACGGAAGTGCAGTCATGCATGCATTTCTATGCAGACGTTTTGTTTATCAGTTATTTGCCCTTTGCTAACAAGATTAATTTCAAAATTGCAGATAAACCTGACATTACCACTCATCCTGAAAATGAGGATATAAAAGAAGGAGGAAACGTGACCTTTTCTTGTAATTCTACTGCAAATCCATTACCGACAACATCATGGACTAAAGATGAATCGCCTGTAACTAACGATTCGAGGATCAGTTATTCAGTTGTCAATAAAGTGTTGACGATAACGAATGTGAACAGAAATGACAGGGGACAATACAGATGTGTGGCGAGCAACGAACTTGGAAAGGATATATCAAAAGCTGCTAAATTAAATGTGAAATGTAAGTTCATTGGATTTTCCTTTAAGATATCGATTACAAACATAATAGAGCATTTTAATACGCAAAGTCTCTTTTGTAGAAAAGACCTTTGAGTAACGTCTACGGGGAAATGGATATTTTAAAATCTTCTTTTTCGAGTCCTCGAAAACGATCACGAAATGTACGTAGGAAATAATTTAGCCGGAGAAAAAACTCTCCCATGAATGGCCATAATAAGGTGGTCGAGAATAGGCTTTAATCCTTTAACTCCCATAAGTGACCAAGAGAGAATTTCTCCTTACAGTGTCAATGCAATATTAAGCAGACAAGTAACGAGAATAAAGAAAGATAGCGATTAGGGGATAATTATTTGATCCAATAATAAATTCTCTGAACTAACATTATAAGAATTTTATGGTTGACATTAAGGAGAATTACAAGTTTGATCTGGGCATTAGATGGTTAAAAGATTTGGAAGTGTGCACATCTTAGATGACAGCTGTTAGGAATAACTACTTAAGAAAGAGATTTCTTCATGTAAAACACGTTTGATGACTCCCTTATATCTCCATCGTCTTGTAAAAACTGTACTGAGCACTTGTTCAAGATATACGCAAAAATGTTTGTTCAAAAATTTGACCACAACCTGTTGTATAGTAACATGATTGTAAAAAACAATTTCTATGCATAGCCCTGCTTATTGTGTTTTTTGTACATCTCAGATCGCCCTGAGGTAACAAAACATCCGCAGAATGTTACGGAAATAGAACGAAATAATGTGACCTTAACTTGTAATGCTACCGGAAATCCAGAGCCACAGTTTTCGTGGTTTAAAGATAAAGATCTCGTGAAAAGCACCAACAGGATTTATTTGTCAGCGAACAACTCGCTCCTGACAATGACAGATGTGAACAGAAACGACAGCGGAAGATACCTGTGTGTCGCCCGTAATGAAGTTGGAAACGATACCTCGAAAATTGTGGTATTAGATGTACAATGTAAGTAAAGCACTATCCATACAATTATATGCTGTAAGTAGAAGTGAGACAAGGCTTTTAATTGTGAAGTGCGCATACAGATTGTTTTATAAGTTCGTGCCCTTTTTTGAACTTTCCGAACTGTCTGTTTTATGAAGCATTGCAAGTCAGAAGCCATGTTCACATTTTTTCTATGGACATCTTCAGTATCCCACATGTCCCCCTTTGCTGCTGAAGCACCGTTTCAGCTTTGCCATTTTTTTAAATATTACAAGCATATAAACTGCTCGCTTCAAAACCAGTCAGAGATTACCAAAAGGGATTTTCCTAAATAATGATTTGTTTGTATTTTTACGTTCATTACACTTCAGTTTTCGCTAGCTTAAATGGAGAGCGAACGGTAATCAAATTGGTAAGTTCCAGATTGTGCACGGAAACGTTTTTCTTTATTCAGATGAGTCATTTGTCTCGCTGAATTGTTTAATTCCAAAGCGCATTGTCTGGTTAATATCCATTCACACCAGCAAAACATATTTAAATAAACTGAGTTCAACTGAATGAAATTATGACGTATAGGACTAAAAAAACATATTTTTCATAGGTTTCAAGTCGTCACTAACTTGTATTTTCAATGTGCTTAATTTGAAGTCGACAAAAATCGGTTTAAGCAGTTTCTGGGAAGTAAACAATTTAAACCCGTGTTTAACAAAACAGCTTAAAACATGTTTCCGCTTTGGTTTGAATGAGGTATAAGTGGGTTTTTTATACATTGTAGATCGACCTGAGATAGCTACTCAACCGCAGAATGACACAACAACAGAGGGAAAAAATGTGACATTAACTTGTAATGCTACTGGAAATCCAGAGCCAGTGCTTTCATGGTCGAAAGATGGAAATCTCGCGAAAAGCAGCCACAGGATCAGCTTTTCAGCAGACAACAAGCTGTTGAAGATAACGAATGTGAACAGAACACATAGCGGAAAATACCTGTGTTTCGCTCATAATGAAGTTGGGAACGCCACCTCGAAAATTGCCATGTTAAATGTTCAATGTAAGTGAGCTTTATACGTAGAACTATTTACTTGCTGGAGAGCTAAGACCAAACTTTAATATATTTCATGTTTCTTTATAATCAGCGTACGCGGGTCTGCTTTAAAGTGAGAAATTTTTTGTTGGAAAAGGTGAATACCTTCAGAATAATTAACCAAGTACCATTTGTATAGAGATACTGAGTGGATGAGGAACTAGGATAAAATCCATATCCGTCTACCTATTTCGTTTCAGATAAACCGGAAATTATCACTGATCCCTCTGGTGACATGATGAAGGAAGGACAAAACAGGACCTTTTATTGTAACGCGACTGGAAATCCATTACCGGCAATATCATGGAAAAAAGATGGACATTCTATTGGCAATAATTCCAGGATCAGTTATTCAGCAGAGAGCAACGAGTTGAGGATAATAAATGTGTACAGAACAGACAGTGGAAACTACCGGTGTGTGGCTAACAATAGCATTGGTAATGCCAGCTCAGATGCTGCTACATTAGTTGTTGAATGTAAGTATTAACAACAATGATAATAATAATAACAATAATAATAATATTCAATGAAGGAACCCAACTCGCCAAGGCGGTTTTTAGTGGGCCCCGGTAAATAATTTATTGAATTCTTCTAACTTATTCGATAGAAAGTCAGCCCGGAAGTCTGGAAAACAGTCATTTTGGTCTTGAAGGTCATTTCAGTTGGTTCAGCCATGTCTGCTGTAAACATAAAAGACCACTGAATTGTCGAATTCAAAAAGATATTGGCGCTTATAGCTAGCGTTGCTAATGTTCATTGCAACTGTTTCACAATTGTAGATAAAAGTGAGATTACCACTCATCCTAGTAATGTGACAAAAACAGAAGGAGAAAACATTACGTTACACTGTAATGCTACTGGATATCCGCCCCCTACTCTATCATGGACCAAAGATGGGTCTGACATAAGTAACAATTCCAGGATCAGCTTTTCAGCAGACAAAAAGCAGTTGGCAATCACCAAAGCGAGCCGAGTAGACAGCGGAGCATACCGATGTGTGGCGAACAACAGCCTTGGAAATGATACGTCTATGGCTGCCGTTGTAGATGTTCAGTGTAAGTAAGCGGAATATTCATGAGACAACGAGTTATTGGGATCATTAACTAGGGCTCGATAGTCCTAAAAAAAAGGCCGTAATGTTTTGGTTCGAAAAAGGTTAACGGTTAGTTAAACAGCGGCTTTTAAGCTTCCCAATTTAGATAAATTCAAGGTCGCCAGTTTTGTACTGTGGCTCTTAAGGACACTTTCTTGGGTTGCGAATTACGTCAAGCGGCAAACATGTCTGCTGCAGATAGTCACATTACGTTTGAGTTAACAAATCCCAGACGAAAGGAAAAACAGAAACAAGTTGAGAAAAATTTGACACGAGAAAGAATTAAGAAGAAAAGTAAGAGCAGCTTTGGAACCGCACTACTATGCAGCTATGGACACTTGAGTAAATGTTTTCAGCTTGTAATTGAATGATAATTTCTATTTCGCATTGAGAAATCTGTTTGATAATTCGCATATCTCTGAAACTTACCAAACTTGCACGATTTTCTAATTTATTACTATGTTTTTTTTAGTTGCACCTGAAATCTCCATACATCCGAGGGATGTCACAATAGTAAGAGGAGATAATGTGACTTTTAGTTGTTCAGTCGTGGGGAACCCAACTCCCAGTGTTGTTTGGGAAAAGGACAGAAAAGACCTAAATGTAACAGGAAATAGTCGATTTAACTTGTCCTCAAGGAACAATAATCACAGTTTAGAAATTGCAGAAGTTCACCGCTCAGACTCAGGGCAATACAGATGTGTAGCTGAAAACAGCAAGAATATATCATATTCATCTGCAGCTACCCTCACAGTGCAGTGTGAGTAAATTCGCTTTAAATGTTTTCAGATATTACCCAGTGTAGTTTCAAAAGTGCTGTGACATGCAATATTTTATTAAATTGCTTTGTTGCGTGCACAAGCTGTATGCCGTAGTATGATATGAGAGGAAACGTTGCCAAAGGAAAAAAAAATTCATAATGCTACAAGTTTTATGTTTGAAGTCATATCGTTTTACTTCATCAGCATCGATATCTTCAAAGACGTCACTCTAAACAGGGACTCTTTCGCGCATCAAATGTCTGTTTGACTAATTGCTCTCCATAATCTGTCCTTGGCTTTTTAGTGGAGACGTTTAGCAATCATTAACGGTAACTCTAATTTCTTGTTTTTTTTTTGTTTCTGTTTTTGTTTCTTTTTTTCTTTTGTTTCTTTTTTTTTTGTCCTGCAGATGTACCAGACCCACCAAAGGATGTCAAAGTGATCACGAGAGGATCACGGGAAGTGAATATCTCCTGGACAGCTGGTTTCGATGGAAACAGTGCCATTCAGAACTACACAGTGGAAATCGGAAAAGATAAGCAGACTTTCAGAGATGCCATATGTCAGGGAACACTCTCAAAGAATAATTGTGTGATCTACTCCACAAGAGTTTCTATCAAAGATCTGCTTCCTTGGACAAAATATTACCTCAGCGTGTTTGCTACGAACATGATTGGTTCTAGTAACCACAGCTCTGTAGTAAATGTTACCACCGATGAAGAAGGTGCTCTTTTTCTGATATTTTAAGTTCCTTTTCATTTGATAAATTTTATCATATACCTGTATTTTGGAGATTCCTTCGGCAAGTGATAAATTGATTAAGTATGTGTTGAGCTTCTACCACTTGTCTTACATTTACTTCGTGTCATTTATCTGTTTGTTTTTTTGTGTTTTTTTGCAATGTTTTGTTCTTTTTTTTTTACTCTGCACTAGGCTTTCCCTATGCCTTAAGTTGACTTTTTTAACTGTAAATGTATTGCTCTTATACCATTGGGCTTTGTTAGAAAAACTCTATACTTCAATTCTATATTTCTTGTAACTCACGGGGAGAAATGTGCTATTATTTGTTTACAGTACCAAGCTCCGCTCCACCTTTTAACGTGACTGTCCTCAGTTCTACTGCTGTTAACGTTTCTTGGCAGGTATTAGACCCACTTTTTTTTACTTAGCATTTATTAGAGTTTCCTGCTCTACTGACACCGTTATCAAAAGTTTTTTTAAATAGCTGTGCTCTATAACATTCAGAATAAGACGACACTGAGACATGCACAGCGTACAGTTTGGACACTTTTTCTTTTATAACAGTTATTGATGACTTATTTACCAATTTACCATGGTTTTCGAACAGCCACAACTGTGCTAATATTAAAATGAATGTATCAACATCTTTTCAACTGGCTGCAGGAGCTAAATAAATAAATTTATCGCATTGTATTGCAATACACTTGAGGAAGAGATGTAGCATGTAGTATATTTATCAAGTAATTGTGGCTAAAATATATCAATATTCATCATGGAATTACCAATTATTGTTTGGAGAAACTGGAAACCGAAAGGAAATTGCGGTGCAAGGTTAAAATTCCGTGCGAGTGAATTATTGGTTAACAAGTTAAAATTAGTAGCAGTTTGATATCTTTGTTGATTGATTTTAATCTGCTCAGTTCTCTCATCACAATTTAGTATTATTATCACTGCCATCTAGATGCTCACTAAGGAAGAAGCTCGAGGTGCTATACTGGGGTATTATATTCTGTACAAGAGAAAAAGCGAGCCAGAGGCATCGTGGAAGAACAGAACAGTCGATGGAGCGGAGACCACTTCTTTAGTATTGGCGTCTTTAGATGAGTACACATCATACCAGTTTGCCATACAGGCCTTCAACCGCAAGGGTGTCAGCGGTCGGAGTGAAATTGTGGAGAAACAAACAGATGAAGCTGGTAAGTTGCTTAAAGAGCCGTCCAGTAGATTTCTGTACACAAAGTGCTCAAAAGTTACTTAGTTACGTAATCACTAATATGCAACCATCATGCGCCTATCTTACTCTACTCTTGAGGAGCAACTTCGACAGTACCAAAACATGAATGTTGTTGCACAGGCGGCCCATGCTCACGTCTCGAGAAAAAGCCAGCGATTAATTCCTGAAAGCGTCACGCGTTGTGTGACTCGGTGTTTAGTTACGAGAGGAACCGTTGAAAATTTGAACACGTTATAAGGAATAGTATGGAGAGCGAAATATGGTCGATTTACAACGATAAATATTTCGAAATATGAACAATTTACACGTAGAATCAATAAGACTTACTCGCATCCCGTGTGTCCGTTGTACTTTCTGTCGATTTCTGCCGTTTTAAGCTTGCTTTACCGTCACTGTCATTCCTGTCAAAAGACGAAGGAATAACAGTAATGGTAAAGCAAGCTTAAAACGGCAGAAATCGCTAGGTGTTCAAATTTTCAAGGGTTCCTCTCGTAACTTAACACCGAGTCACACAACGCGTGACGCTTTCATGATTTAATCGTTGGCTTCTCGAGACGTGAGCTTGGGCTGCCTGTGGTTGTTGTGTCTTCTTTTCTGTGCATTTTTTTTATTGCTTTCTTTTCTTTTATTTGAGAATATTACTTGTGTCTCTGTATTTTGGAGATTCTCTGAGAAATAAAATCTCTCGACAACTGGTAAACTGATAAACCACAGTACGTATTAAGGTTCTAGAGCCAAATTCAGCTGAGTGTCAAAGTAATTCAAGATTTCTTTGGATTTCCTTTACGCAACACTTTTTCAATCAATCATCTAAAACCAAACGCGAATTGGCAACTCGCGTTTTCCCGCGCTTCTGGCAGTCTGCTCGTTTTTATTGCGAGTTCTCATTACCTTCCTGTGACATTTTCCTTCTACGATTTTCCATCGTGATCGCTTTTTGTTTTTTACTTTACATTCATTACATTAAGAATTATGTACTATACAATTGTATTTCTTGTAACGTTAAATAAGAAATGTTAACTTCTTTGCTTACAGTGCCACGTTCTGCTCCAACTTTACATGTGACTGTTCTCAATTCTACTGCTGTTAACGTGTCTTGGCAGGTATTAAACCCACTTAAAAACAAATAGCATCTATTATTGGCACTTTAAAATGCCAACGATGAAACATAAACAGCACGCAAAAAGCTTAGAGATTTTTTTTTTAATACAAATATTTTTGATTTAATCTTCAATTCAGTGCGGAGAACCAAGAAACCACAAGTGCACACATAGCGCAATCGAATTAATTGTATAAACATGTATTGGAGTGGCTGCAGCAGCCAGAAAACGCATTTACTCCAATATACAGTATCAAGGAATGCATTGTATGTAGCATATTTACTAACTGCTTGTGGCAAAAATTTATTGATATCGTCTATGGAATTCACAATTACTGCTTGGAGAAAGGAGTTTGTGGAGCGTGGTCAAATTGCCGTGCAAGTGAAATATTACTTTACCTGTTATATTTAGTCCTAGTTTTATATCTTTATTTCTTGATTTTAATCATTCATCACTTTCATAAAACGCTATTCAAGCTAGTGTTATTATCACTGCCATCTAGATGCTCACTAAACAAGATGCTAGAGGTGTCATACAGGGCTATTACATTCTGTACAAGAGGGTGAGTGACCTGCAGTTAGACTGGGAGAACGACACTATTAACAGAGCGCAAACTACGTATTTAGTGGTGGCGTCTCTGGAAAAATACACATGGTACCAGTTTTCCATACAGGCCTTCAACCGGAAGGGAGTCGGTGTACAGAGTAACGTTACAGAGATGAGGACAGATGAAGATGGTTAGTTACCCTTCAGTTGCGTAGGGTGGGGTAGGTTCATCAAGTAGGTTAACTTCCAGATTATAACGGCACAGCAGATTGTGGAGCCAACTTCCATAATGCCAGTACTTGTCCTCATTGGCTTATGTTCTTGAAATCTTAGTTTGTGTTTGCTAGAAATTGTAAGGCGACGGAGACAATTGCCTACGTATCTTGTAATTGAGGCGGATTGTGTTACTAAGTACTTACTGATTGTGTTGGAGGGCCGTACAAGCGCTCGGTCCGTACGTCACGACCGAGAGCTAAACATTTTCCCGGCCGGCCTGACCAAACTCAGTCAACAAGCATTATATCATATGACCACTAACTGTTGAAAATTCGGAAAACTTGTTTCAATCTAAATATGACGAGATAGATGGGCACACGTGGGACAACCACAAAATAATTTACAATAGTAACTTTTCCTGCTTCTTTTTTTCTCGAGTTTGAACAAGAAACTCACAATTCATCAAAAAACGCTATTTTTTTAAAAACTCTTTTCTTTTTTCCGTTAAGTTTTTTTGCAACAAAGCTGCTTGAGTACAAGGGCGGACGGCTTTACTCGGAATGGCTTGCGTCAATTCGTCCGACCCCACTGACGTCAGTTTGCACAATGTTTTTCCAATGGAATTGCGTGCGCGGGGCCTTGCTGGTCATATGATAAATGTAGTGACCAACCTGAGGTTGACTTGAAGTACATAATGTATGCTATTGTATATGTCTAACTCCTTAAATTGATTATATGCGTTTCAGTACCTTCCGAGGCACCGGAAGGAATCACTGCAGCGGCAAAGAGCAGTACTAGTATTAAATTGGAATGGAAACCTGTTCCTATGCGTGATTTGAATGGCATTTTCACTTATAAGTAACAGCTTTAGGACCATTTTGGTGGTGGTAGTGGTAGTAGTCAGAAATGGTGGTAGTAGTGGTCGTAAAAGCAGCGGTGGTAATAGTAGCGGTAGTAGTAGTAGTTGTAGTGATAGTAGTAGTAGTGGTAAAAGAAGTAGCGGTAGTGCTAGTAGTGGTAATTGTAGTGGTGGTCGTAGTAGTTGTGGCAGTAGTGATAGTGGTGGTTGTGGTGAAGGTAGTGGTAGTGGTAATGGTAGAAGCTCAACTGTCTTTAAAAGTGCCATTGGCAACCTAACCTGATGAAATGGTTTGCCCGAAAGAAAAAAAAACAAAAAACAAAAGAAAATCAAAAACAGCAGAAAAGAAGACAGCTTGTTCAAAATTTCAAAATTCAATGATTTGCTTTTCGAACTTTGATATTTAGTAAGTAGGTGATATAATCCCATTTTGAAAGAAAAAAATTATGAATAATATAAATAAGACCTGAACCTCTCTTCATCCAGGAGTATGATTGGGTATCCGTGAACTAGCAAAGTGTTAATCGAAATAATCAAAAGAGATGAGCTTATTATTCACGTTTTATTAACGAAGAACCTGTGCAATGTGAAATATTTTAAAATATGTTGATCGATCTGGTCTACCTCTTTCGGTAAGGATGGATAAACTTCCAACTGAAATTTTAGTGTTTATTTAGAGGTTGTTTAATTCCCTAGTTGTTCCAGACCCACCACAGAACATTACTGTCGACACAAAGGGCTCACGAGTTATAAATATCTCCTGGACGGCTGGTTTTGATGGAAATTGTGCCATTAAAAACTACACAGTGAAGATCAGTCAACATGATCAGATATTAAAGGATGTTGTTTGTCAAGGATCCCTCTCAAGCAGTGCATGTGTGGTTTCCAGTCTCTCCACAACTGCTTCTCTTACAGGTCTTCTTCCTTGGACAACATATAATATCAGAGTGTTTGCTAGAAACAAAATTGGCAGAAGTAGCAGCAGCCCTATTCTGAATGTTACCACGGATGAAGAAGGTATGCTGCTCACTCTATGCAGTTTTTTGCAATGTATGAAAAGAGTTATGAAGAAAAGCCACAAATGTACCACAGGAACATGACAGGGGATCGGGACATACACTGTAAACTTCTGGTAATCGTTTGATGTTAGCTGTTTCTCTCCTGAAGTTACCTGATTTAAAGAAATATTAAATACTGTTATGTCTGTTTTGAAAGAACAAATCGTGTTGCTGTTTTGTTAATCACCACCTGCTGTGTATTAGGCTATATGTGACTCTCTTAAGGAAGATCAAATGGAGTTCCTTAGGAGTTCATTTAACACCTGTTCAAACATTATTTTTGAGCTGTAATCGTTGTTTGTCACATTTTGACACATTAAAGGAAAAAAATTATTTGATTCCTTCTTGCAGTGCCGAGCAAGGCTCCAAATTTTGTTGTGACTGTTCTAAACTCAACTGCTGTGAATGTTTCCTGGCAGGTAATTACCAGATATTGCATGTAACCTCAAACGAATGTTTCTATGACTACAGCATTGACAACTCATACTGATTTCCCCTTTGGCGTTTTTCATTAACCTGAGTTACTTGTTCACATACCTATTTTGATGAGTAGAATATTGAATATCATATGTTCAACACTTAATGTTCTCTTTGATTGCTTCGTAACTCTGCATGTAAAGTACATACACCATTTAATAATCTGTGTTGGAGTATTACATGCGTGTCAAGCAATAAAACAACGGAAACTCTTAACATGATTGCACATAGACGAAAGTGCACTTGATAGACGAAAAGTTTGGATTTAGAATTCTTTGCTGATTATCCGACAACCATGCGCGCATACTTTGCTTGGTTCTTTGAAATTGCGCGGACAAAAAAGCATGCAGACGACTGTGCTCCTAACCCTTTAACTTCCAAGATCTCATTAGTAATTCTCCTTACTATCGTCCATACAGTTCTTGTAATGTTAGTTTGGAGAAATTGATATTGAATCAACTTGTAATACCCTAATTGATATTTTTCTTTATTCTCATCACCTGTCTGCTTGATATTGTATTGATATTGTAAGGAGAAATTCTGTCTTGGTCACTCATGGGAGTTAAAGGGTTAATTAACTTAAGACAGTCACTTACCTGTAGGTGACGTCATCAACGACATTATTTTTACCCCCCTGTTTAGATTCCGTGTCGTTGTGCATCACTTAGCGGGCCATATTTCATTTCATTGTATACCCAGCTGCGCCTGTGAGCAATATAAAGCTTATCCTGTGTCCTGATTGGCTCACAGCGGGCGCAAGGTGGGCCCATCTCGCCCACTCAGGATTATTTGTTTTGATCCCACGAAAGAAAAAAGAATCCGTGAAAGATTGTAAAGATCGTAACTTTTGGAAAATTTTGGCGACGGAGTCGCAAAAACCAGCAGAAGACAGTCAAAACAAAGAAGACATGAAAGAGTCTTATCATTATTTAACTACAAATAAAGTTGGCTTTCTTATCCGGTTCTCGAAACAAGGCAATCTTAATTCTTATTGAAGCGAAATCTTTTGCTAAACGATAAATCATTGACCTAGTTTGTTCGGTCAAGATGGCTAAATATTACCCTCGTTCTTTTGGCCAAAATCCTGCCATCTTGACCTCACGTTTGGTGAACAACGCATATGTAGGGTCAGCTTAATGCAAAAGTTTGTTTGAATTGAAATCTTTCCCCTCTATTTGAACACAGAGATATAATAAATATCTTAATAACCTCCTTTTCTCGGTCCGAATTGTAAGTTGTGGAATCTCCATTCATGGCTCGCGTGTGTCATAAATCCAAGCGGAAAGACACCCGGTCTGCACATGGATGCAGATCGTGATGCAATAAACCTAGCAAGAATATCATTAATACCTGTCTGTGGCTCGTGTGTCACGTTTTTCTTCTAATTACATATTGACGTCGTCCGAGATCTACCAAAGACTTTTAAGGAAAAAAAAAACGCGGAATGTGTTTATATAAAAGAAAAAGAGAGATAAAATTATTTGAGTACATGCAATTGTTATGACAGTGCATTGCAATATTTGGACGCACTGTAATGTATGTACACGTAGCGCGTAAAAACTATTCGTGGTCATCATATTAAAGTTTTATTAACTTTACAACCCAGATGCTGAGTAAAGACATCGCCAGAGGTGCAGTCTTGGGCTATTACGTTTTGCACCGGCTTAACAGCACTCCTCCCTGGATTAATAAAACTGTTGATAGAGCCGAATTGACATCGTTGTTGGTGGGACCACTAAATGAACACACTTCATACGAGTTTGCCATGCAGGCGTTTAACAGTAAAGGTGCCAGTCATTTAAGTGCTTCGGTGAGAAAGACTACCGACCAGCATAGTGAGTGTTACGTTATTTTTTTTTTAATCAATCTATATTGTTATTCATTTTGTTATGAATACTGTTAATGTTTGTGTAATTTCGGGCAATTTTTATTAGCTATACAACCAAAACTGCTTGCAGCCTTTTATTTCCTTCATGGTTACGATGACAATTACATTTGCTGTACAGACACTCTGATGATGGTATGAATAAAGGTATACTTAGAAATTTGAAAAGATTTTCAGCCGTTCTCTCCTCAGTTTGTTGGCCATGAAAAACGCAGAGCCTTATGATAGTTTCCTTTAGCTTTAAGAGCCTAGTGAGCCACCACAACTAGTTACAATTAACGAGGTAACATGTGCAAGTATCAATGTATCCTGAGGTTATGTCCCCGCCGATAGTTGAAATGGAATCATTCAAGTATATGAAGTATATTATAGTTCTCATTTGCCAAATGGTCGTTCACAGATTTTGTGACAATTTAACTTTTGGTCATACACTCCTGATTTTGCCTTTAGAACCGGGTAGTACACCACAAGCTGTTACAGTTAGTGCTACATCTTCTAAAAGTATCTTCGTCTCTTGGGATCCTGTCATTGCTGATGATCGAAATGGAATTATCAAAGGATACATCGTGAATTATCAAGCCTTACCAAATGGTTACATCGTTGCTAAGATCCTCAATATCACTAAAGAGGAACAGAATAATAGACAAACAGTGACTTTAAGTAACCTGAATGAGTTTACAAACTACAGCATCGGGGTATTAGCATTTACTGTTTTTGGAAATGGACCAGTAAGTGTTGGCCAAGTTGTGGAGACACTGGAAGGCAGTAAGTTTTATGCCAGCAACTGCGCTGTTAATTTTTACTTTGTGTTTGTTGGAGCCTTTAATCGCTTTATATCGGCAGCTCTGTCAATTTTCTTAAGAAAGGTTTCTCTTTTTTTTTTAAACATTTTTTGTTTGTCCTATGGACTCAGAAACAGTACTTTCTTATATTGTGGTTTTGATTATCTAATAATTCTTCCTAACCCTAAGCAATGTGACAGATAACAAAAGGCACTTGTCCTCTTGACAGTAGGTTGCTTTCAGGGGATTTTCTAATCAGTGGAAGTTTTCTTTTGCCAAATGCTCGTTCACAGCTTTGCGACAGTTTTACTTTTGGTCATACAAGCCTCCGTGATGACGTGCAAGATCGACGAATTAAGGTTTTATAAACGTTGCTGAAATTCAGATGTCCTTTTTAACATCATGATTTTACCTGTCAAACTCGGGGGCCCACCAAAGGCAACATCTTTTAAATATATAGTCGATTTTTTCTATTCCGGCTTTTGTTAATTTTGTTGTTGTGATTTACTTCTGAGCTTGTTACTATCCATACAAAATTTTTTTTTGTACCAGGGGGCAGTAGCCAATGTTCCTTCCATGCTGGTTTGCTTTATGGAGTTTTTTCGTAATGCAGACGTTATCTTTTGGCACGTTCGTTTTCACATCTTCTTGGAGCTTGAAAACATGGTTCCTCAAACGTCATTTTTAAATTCCTCATTTATTGTTCGATCTTGCAAAATGTTTTCCAAACGGAAGTAGAAAATAGTAACAGATTCACAGCTAATAGTAGGGTTAGATGCCATAGTTACAGAGGCAGCCCATCTTTATTAATATCCAAACGCCATCTTGAATCCGTCATGTTAGATATTAGGAAACGATTACTCTAACAAGTAATAAAGCGAAATCAATTGTTTGAAAATATAAAGTATTGTACGTTTTAAGTGAAATTACTTAATAATCAATCTTCAAAAGTCCATTAATTTTGAGAAGGACACAACTGAAACGAAATATTCGAAAAATCAGAGAACTTAAAGTTTATCAATTTGCCTGAATAAGGGCACCCAATTCACATGGAAAAATAAAGGTTTTATAATTGTCTCAACCATATTGCTAACAGGAAATTCTTTCTTGGTTTTTTTCATCTTCTGAGGTACGCTATCTTCGTTATGTCTCGAAATATTCATCATCGGACATTCGCTTTTCCTCCTCCTCCGCAGCACGATTAATGTGTTGCCAGCTACGAGACTGTTAAGGGAAAAGCATTTAGTTTTTCCTAGAATATTGATTACACTATCGTGTAGTTTAACAGGTTTTGGTGGCCATGATATTTTAGAGCTATTTTGAAGTAACTGCATCATAGCGTGCAGGCCAGCTTGCTTTAGCTAAATTTCCTTGTTTTCGGATGGAGTATTCCTTTAATAATTGGCTAATTGCTAAGATCATGACAATATTACTACCTCTTTAAGTAGGCGGTTGTTTTCCCAACATGTCCTTTCACTAACGACCAGTTCGCTATGATCTTAGGTCGTTTCGCAATCTCTCAAGAGAGTTAGCTCACGTCTACTCTCATCGGTCTTTTCGTTTACGTCTTACGAAACATTTAATGATCCCACAGGCACAACTTGATCCACTTAATTCTAATCGACCGAAAAGGCCTTAAGGAAGTTAGATCGTTTCACTAGAAACTGAAAGTCGATTTGATACAAGGCGATTAAAAAAAAATTAAGGTGAATCGATATATCGACAAAGTAGATGTAACACAACTTCAGCAAGTCAATCACAGTCCATTCTTGGCCGATCTTACACAGTTAATTACGGTACAATATTTCAACTGTCGCTATTTCGAAGAAAACAAAACTGGAAAGAGACGTTAGTGAAATTGCCTATGACGTTACCGAAATGATCTTTGATAAGTCGGCCAAATGACCTGAAACGTTAGCGGAATCACCTAAACCGTTTGCGAACTGGTCTTTAGCGAAACGCCGGAATGTAATTGCCTCAGTGGCCAGTTGAGCCTTTTAAGAATTTTTGGGTAGAAAAAATAAATTATCATGAAGGAGATTTTGAAATTACAACGAGTCACCAAATACCGTTTCCACCTTAAAAAATGTTACTTTGTTGATTTGAATCTTTCAGTCGCTGCTACTGATTACCGGATGTATGATCGAACGTAACACTTTAGTTTCTCTCTCAGATCAACCATCTTGACTAGCGTAGGATTTTCTAATGTATCTGTCATAGCTTTGCAATTCGGTATCATGTGAAATAATTGGTTTTATTTTTTTTTAGAGGGCACGGTCAGTATTTTCCTATCTCTGCCCACGGGCCACGGTAACGCTTTCGTGAATCGTCGAGTTCATCCAAAATTTCGTTGCCATTTTTTATAAATATATCTCGTTTTTCCGGCTGGGCAGTATTTTTAAGCAAACACGTCGGTCACTACCTCAAGCCGATAAATAACTTTTGAGTCCTCTCTTTTCTCTCTCTCAAATCACTTTGGGTGACAGAAAAATATTGCTTTCAGAATGAATTTAACTATTTGTATAAGCAATAGTGTCATTACGTTGGTTGACAAGCGGCCTAAAAACTGTCTGCAATTGATTTTAATCTTTCACAAAAAGTGCCTAGAAAGTTAAAACGTGAGGTATTTGGTTACAGTTAAACTGAACGATGGAAATATCATTCATTTATTACCTGAATTTTCTCAAACAATTTGTTCGTAGTGAGAGAGCTAGCAATTCTACGACAAATATACGCTCTCGGTGAGTCTTTCCAAGTCCGTTCAATTTGGACATTTGTACCGTAAATTGTACAACAGAAATTTAAGGAATTTATTGAGAAAAGGCCGCATTAAATCCCCTTGTATCTCGTTGGAGTGTGCCATTCGATTTTAGTTTTTGTAGAGGAAAGACCAGATTTACACACGCCATTGCAGCAAACAAACGAGCAAACTGTCACAACTTCAAAATAAAAAATTTGAATTTACTCACAATTACTTTCCTCGCCGTTTACTTAATGAACAGAGGTAAATCTTTGTACATGAATTAATCGTCGATGAGAGTGAATAATACTTTCAGTTAGATCATTGACCGTTTTTGAAGAAACCATTGTCGTGACAGTCCTTGTCTACTAGTTCCGTTGTTTTTCAAATGTTCTTGCGCTTTTTTCTTTTTTCTTACGTGCTCTCTAATAGACAGATGTCAGATTGTGACAAATACTTGTAAAAATAATATTTCAAAGTTTTTTTGGAAACCTTTTAAATCACCTTTATCCTTACGCAAATGAAAATGTTTCGATGAGGCATCTCTCTTTAATTTGTATCACCTCTATTTTAACGACCATTTACTCGCTCGAAAATTGTTCAGTTTATGGAAGATCTTGCCGTGGTTACAAACCTAAATCATTCAGGTTCTTTCGGAAAGAATTTCGTAAAGTTAAAAAAAAAAAGTGTTTTTTACCGGCTAAAGGTCGGTTCATATGGTGAAAAACTGTGACCTCGGTCTTGAGTACATGTTTACTTTGTCTGGGCTGTCATAATCTTGATAGCACTGGTGGGAGTATCATGAACCGAAGACCGAACTCAACCGAAGACCGAAGACCAAAGACCCATAACCGAAATATCGCGCACCACACTTTGTGAGGCGTTGAAATGCACGTTATCGGTAGAGTCCTTGTTTGTAGAAAACGCTGGGATCAAAGTACAAAACGAAGACCTTCGCGAAAATGCTTCTTCAAACCACGAAATACTGACATGATATCACTCGCTATGCTTTGTGGGACTTTAAAATAAACGTTATTGAATTTTTCAAGACCGCTCCACTCAATTCTTTTCTTGATTCTGAGTAGGCAGGATGGGCTCATCATGCCCACTCGGTTAGCCAATCAGAACACAGAACACATTTGACGTGTATCAAAACGCCTCACAAAACGTAGTAGCGATGTGTCATGAGTTAGACGTCTCCCTCATGTTGACTTTCATTAGTAGACACCTCTGGCCTTGATGCTAAGAATCAGCCATTAGCTAATCACGAGAGGAACGGCCAATAACTCTGCTATCACCCGTAGGAATAGCAGCCTTTTTCATCATGAGTTCTCTCGTTTTAGGCCCTTCTCGACGAGACCTTTGTTCTCCACTTCATAAATTACACCCTTGAATCTCTTCGGCGTTTTCCATTTTTTGAGAAGTTTTCTCCAATTCTCGCTTTATTGTTTTAAAGGCTACAGTATTTACTGCTAGGCTGACTGGATGAATTTCTCCTTCCTTAGCACTCTCCGGAATAATAATAATTGTAATAATGATAGTAAATAATCTCCATCATCCGAACAGTGACTGATACAAATTTCACAAAGAGGCTGTTAAGTTTGGTTTGTTCTTATCAGTCGTTGTGATCTTGATAATATTCGATCGCCAACTATTTGCTTTCTCGTGCTTTCGCCGACAAAATACAGGTTTCTGCATTAAGTCTTTATCGTTATGTTTTTTGTTTCTCAACTATGTCTTTTGAATTCGTCCTAAAACGGTAAGGTTACGAATCGACTAGAACTGTGAAGCACTTCCCTATCTTGGAACGTACCCATGATACCTTACGAGTTTTACTAAATGGTTTGAAAACATTGTTTTGAAATGCTGTTCAATGTTTCATGTACTGATCTATTTGCCATGATCAACAAAATAGGTATTGGCTATCAAATGAATTTGTAAAGTCTTTGACATAACCTTTAGTCAGATCACAATCACATTTTCTCCTCCAGAATGGTACCGAGAAACCTACTGTGGCCCATGGACTAAAATAAGTGAGAGTGTACACTTAGAAAATGTTGCTGAAATGTGTAATCTTAGATGTACTTTTTACCCTCGTGATTTTGCCTTTAGAGCCGACCGGTGCACCACAAGCTGTTACAGTTAGTGTTACATCTTCTAGAAGTATCTCCGTCTCCTGGGATCCTGTCATTGCTGATGATAGAAATGGAATTGTCAAAGGATATAAAGTAAATTATCAAGCCTTACCAAATGGTGACATTGCTACGAAGATCTTCAAAATCACTAAACAGCAACAGAATAAAAGACAAACCGTGACTTTAGGTAATCTGAATGAGTTCACAAACTACAGCATTGGGGTGTTAGCATTTACTGTTTTTGGAGGTGGACCGGCAAGTGTTGGCCAGGTTGTGGAGACACTGGAAGACAGTAAGTTTTATGCCAGCATCTGTGCTGTTATTGTTTCTTTTATTGTGTTTGTTCTTGCATTTAATTAAATCATATTGGACGCAAAAACAGTACTATGGGATACTGAGTGTTTTATATTTGTCCAGCCTTTCTATTTTATTTTTGATGTTCTCATATTTGGTGCAAAGTCTTAATGTAACAGATAGCGAAAGGCATATATGTTGTTGTTATATATATGTTGTTGGTAATATTCCTTCCGTTCTAGTTTGTTTCGAGGGTTTTGTTTTTTGTTTTTTGTTAAATTATTGAGTTATTTTTCATTTTTTTTATTTGTTTATTTTTCAATGCGGATGCATTCGTTTTATTGTGTTTCTTCTTGTCTTTAATTACATTATTGAACGAGTTTACAAGCTACAGCATTGGGGCGTTGGTATTAACTGTTTTTGGAAATGGACCAGCAAGTGTTAGTCAGGTTGTGAAGACACTAAGACAACAAGTTTTACACCAGCATTCGGGCTGTTCTTGTTAATATTATTGCTTTTTTGTTGTTGCGGCCTTTAATCACAACTGTACATCGGCAGTAATGTCTATTTCCTTATAAAATATTGTCTTCTTTTAAAAGCGTTCTTTGGTTTGTCTTATGGACATATTAATAATGCTTTTGATACTGAGTGTTTCATAGTTTTCGGTTTTTTTACTGGATTGATCTTGTTGTACTTCTTGCAAAATTTTTAATATAACAGGTATCAAAAGGCATGCGTCTTCCTGAAAATAGGGTACTTTTAGAAGTTTTAATAAGTAGGAGACATTTTCTTTTGCCAATTTCTCGTTTACAGATTTTGTGATAGTTTAACTTATGCTAGTACAGGCCTCCTTGAAAATAGGATAACCTGCAAGATGAAAGAAGTCAATTTTATGAACCTTGCTAAAATTCTGATGCCCTTTATACATCATGATTTTACCCCTAAGATTCGGTGGTCCATCGAATGCCTCATCTTCTAATTTTTTTTATCGTTTTAATCTATTCTGGATTTTTGTTATTGCTTACCTCTGAGCCCCTTACTTTTCATGCAAAATTTTTGTGTACTAGAAAGCAGTAAGGAATAATTCTTCTATGCTAGGGTTTTGTTTGTTTGACTTAATCCTTTTTTTTAATATAAAAGCATTCGTCTGTAAAAAAGGTTGTTCATGGCTTCTTCGAAACTGTATTGCTTAATAACCACAACTACTGCGCTAGCTAATTAAGGCCACAATTTTCATTAATTAATACTAATCGCATAACGTGATGACGTCATAAACGGAATTCACTGCATTACGACTTGCTAGTCAGAAGAACTGTGAGACACCACTGGATTTTGAACGCGACTACTCCAAGCGTTGATTCAATAAAGGAGCTGTTTAGAACCGTGGACTGAGTTAATCTTCGACTGGCAAAATATTCAAAATCCACGGTGGTCTGCTACAAAGCGACAACTGGATAAGCGAAGATGGAAAACGCAGCTGAAATCGAGAAGGCTAAAGGCAAGCGTACAACAGCTAAAGGAAGATTCACAAGAAAGAAGAACTTCCTCACCAAGTCGATAGACAATAACCAAGGCGTAGAAATAGTTGAAACAAACTATGCGAAACTCGCGGAGGCGTACGATGAACTCGAAGGCAAACATGAAGCCTACATCGAGCTATTGCCAGACGATCAGTCTGAAGAAGCAGAAGTGTGGATGACAGAAGTCCAAGAGAAGTTTAATGAGGCGACCAATCGCAAAATCAAATATGTGGAACAAATCACTGTGAAAGAAAGATCAACACGTGCGTACGCGGAGCGTCAAGAATACATTGATAAAGCACGCACAAGACAGAAAACAGCGCGCGCAGTTTTCGAAGCTTCATACAAAAGTATCTCGCACGCGCTGCAATCTAAAGAAATTCCCAATTTTGCATTGAGAGATTTACAAATGCAAATTGAAGAAGAATTTTTGGAATGCAAACGATCAAACGCAGAACTGCTACAATTATTAACTCAAGACTCAGCAGACGCTGAAATAAATTGGATCGCTACAATCCAAACCTGTTATCATGAAATAAAGGAGAAAGTAGCGCTAAGCTACACTAATGTGGAAGAAGCTAAAGAAACAAAGCGGGAGTCTACCGCCTCAGCTTCCTTTCTACAACTAGAAAAAGTGCGAATGCCTCACTTTGACGGAGAACTGCGCAAGTATCCGCAATTTAAAAGAGATTTCCAGAAGCAAGTTATGACTCAAATCCGAAAAGGTGACGCAGCGTACGTCCTACGCACCTGTCTTAAGGGGGAGCCAGCGAGATTGGTGAACTGCGTAGACGACGACATAGACGAGATGTGGCATCGTTTAGACGACAAATATGGAGACCCAGCCAAAGTTGTCGATGTCATCATTGACGAAATAAAGCGATTTAGAATGCTCAGAGAAGGAGAAGATAAACGCTTTATAGAATTTGTAACCCTCATAGAGTATGGTTATCGTAACCTAAAAGGACTCGGCTTGGAAACAGAGATCACGACTACAAGCTCAGTCAGCGTAATTGAGAAAGCACTCCCGTCAGATATCAAACGGAAATGGTCCGAACGGGTAAGCTCTCGTGACAGTCTTGTTGATAAGAGCAACAAATTTCCAAGTCTTCTCGACTTTCTACAGAGTCAAAGGGATGCCATTGAATACGAAAGTGCTACACTCCGTGCAGGAAGCAGCAACCAATATCACAAAGGCGCAGCACATTACTCGGAGAGTATCACAGTCGGAAAAGACGAAAGTACCAAAGAACCTAGGCCTAAGTGTCTGATTCACGAGAATGGTAAGCACTGGACGTCAAATTGCCGACTTTATCAAGCTAAGACAGTTGACGAAGAAAGGGATTTTCTCAAAGAAAAGCAAGCATGCTGGGCTTGTCTTAAGCCTGGTCACAGGCAGCGGACTTGTAGGATAAAAAGAGATTGCGGCGTGAATGGCTGCACGAGGAAACATCACCCATCAATTCACGAAAACGATGAAAGTACACCCCAGCAAGCTTCTGCCTCCGCCAATGTATGCAGCGACTCCAACGTCGATACATGTCTTCTCCAAGTACAGAGAGTAAAAACCAGGAAGGGGACAGCTAATGTAATGTGGGACAACGCAGCCTCACTTTGCTTCATAACCAACGCCAAAGCGAAACAAGAGAAACTCAGTGGAGTCAAAGTGAATCTTTCAATAGTGAAGATAGGAGGGCAGAACGAGGAAATCGAAACAATGAAATACAAGCTACCACTTTTGGACAAGCGAGGTCAAGCCGTGGAATTCGAAGTATATGGGATCAACAAAATCACCTCTGATATCGAGCATGTAAACGTAGAGAGCATCGCCCACCTATTTAGAAACGTTTCAAAGGATGAAATAGCGCGACCCGCTGGTCCAGTTGATGTGTTGATCGGTTATGAATACGCCGCCTTTCACCCGGAAAGGGAACAGAATAATGGGCATCTTGTACTACTGAAAAACCGTTTTGGAAGATGCGTAGGAGGAACTCACCCACTGCTTAAAGAAACGTGCATGACCCATAATCTTGGAAACGCGAGAGTACACTTTGTAGGCAAAGTCAATGTCGAAGATTTTTACACTATCGAGGCACTTGGTGTACAGTGCAAACCGAAGTGCGGGGGATGCAAGTGCGGAAAATGCTCCTTGGGCGCCAAAGATTATACCATACAGGAAGAAAGGGAACTGGAGTTAATTGAGCGGAATTTAAGTTTTAACAGTGAAGACAACTCATGGACCGCTGAATACCCCTGGATCAAAGACCCCCATAAGCTTCCTAACAACCGCAAAGTAGCGATGGCGAAATTAGCTGCTACCGAACGACGACTCAGAAAGAACGCAGATCACGCGAAAGTGTATGACGAACAGATAAAGGACATGGTGGCCAGAAATGTGGCAAGAAAGCTATCCGAGGAAGAATTAACAAACTACACAGGCCCTACGTATTACATTGCTCACCACGAAGTACTCAAACCAGAATCGAAATCTACTCCAGTTCGTATAGTTTTCAACAGCAGTGCGAACTATATGGGGCACGTATTAAACGAGTATTGGGCAAAGGGTCCTGACTTGCTCAATAACTTGTTAGGAGTCTTGATACGCTTTAGAGAGAACAGAGTTGCTTTCATGGGAGACATTAGGAAAATGTACCACACAGTGAAAACGTCGGAGTTGGACCAACATACTCACCGATTTCTTTGGCGCGACATG